TCTCATGAAATCGGGATTCGACGTGTGACAACTCTTTTAAGGAGGTGTTAAAAGAGTAGAACTCCTCCAGTTTAAGGTGCGTTAGGTCACCTATTTGCATACGACTCGGGTTTAACTGGTTTGCATCATCAAAGATCGAGTAAGGGCTCAAATTACCTCGAAGAGAAGGTATTAGGCACTTTTCGAGGTCCACAACTGTGGGTCCCGGCTGAACTTGAATTACATGAATTAGTCAGATAAACAAAGATAGAGAGAAGAACAAGAAGTTTGGGCAGTTTTAATATCGAAAGACTTGGAATAAATACAAACAATTTATTTAGAGACAAGATGGGAGGGGATCCTAAAGTTTTTTAGCCTAAAGGATCACTCCGTGCAACATAAATAATACTTCGTAACTTCCTCGAGATGGGGTGTTACTCGTATTATTCAGCAGGCACAAACTATCATCTCCTGCTACCCGATTACTATCTTTAAGTTTGTTACCTAGAGCGCACTAATTGATTCTAAATCGTGCCTTATGCGTGCACTACCCTCCCCATGCCTATGGCCCAGGAGGCTTTGGACCTACTATTTGGATGATTCTAGACTTTACTCAGGTTGCTCAAATATGATAAATCTAAGCGACATTCAAAACATGTAGGACTTCACATAAGGGCAATAAATGGCTCAAGTTAGCCTCTGCATGTAAACAACAAATGCACGCTAACAGGTTCATAATGAGCAGTAGACGAATTTCAGAACTAAGACGAAATAGAATCTTTAAATCCTATAGTCATGGCTTCTATGTGATTCTGAATTTTAAACATACATGCAGTGTTGCTTTCTTAGAACAACAAATTTGCAGATCGTAAATATTACAAATCCAATAGGCATGCCTTCTAAATCGTATGCAAAATAAGGCAGTGGAACAGTTTGATCGTTCATGTTGCCAGCATTGATTTTATCAGCATACTTTCTAGGCGAGCAACAGGATCCAAAAGGCAGGATTTCTAGGAATTGTCCATTGAGACTGATTCCTTATCCTTTTATCCTTATAGGCATGCTTTCTAGGCGAGCAATATGATGGAAATAATAGTAATAGTATCCAATTCAATCATATTCCTATAGGCATGATATCTACGCGAATACTATGAAGAGCAGGTATTTTTTACTCAATGTGATCCTATAAGCATGATATCTAACATAAAGCAATTTGAACAAATAATCACCATGTTGCAACATAACAAGCAGATAACAATGTGTGGTAATGGAACATGTGAACAGGTGAAATATTTATGTCCTATAGGATGTTATCTATCAAACACATAGAAATAGAGCAAGTTGAGCAAAATTAAACACTCAGATCCTCTAGGCAGGATTTCTACCCTTTCATGCAAACATTAGAATAGACCCTTTTTTCCCAATTTTAACTAATACCCCAATTGTTATTATAGAATTATTACAGGCCCAATAATGAAATAAATTACAAAGGGGTACAAATAACTATAGTAAGCCCAAGACAGACCCAAAATGCACCAGCCCAGCCAGGCCTTCGACTTTGTCTCCACATATATCTCAACATAGCCCAGAAACCACAAGAGAACTTGGACCAGTCATTTACACAAGCCAATTGGCCTATTCAGTAGGCAAGGGGAGGGGCAGGATTGAGTAATCAGGAAAAATGGCCGAAAAGCCTCAGACCCTAGTGTGTCAGAGTTTACAAGGGTCTCAAAGTGGACCCCGAGCAGTGCTCACACCAAGGAGGTTAATAGAGAAGCTTTAGTGGCCTTGGCTTTCAGCAGACCAAGAATTATAGGTTTAGAATAGGGAAGCAACTAATGAAAACAATAGTAAAGTAACAGGGTTTGGAAGAGTGCATTTGCATTTTTTAGAAACAAACATTACAAAGTGATCACATGATGAACATATCAACACAAAGGGTGCATGAACTCAAGAAACAAGTTAATGTTGCAAGTTTTCACTTAACACATTGGGGCATGGTATATTTGTAAGAAGTGAGGAGTCTTAAACTTCTGGTATTACAAAGTTAATAGGCAAAGGAGCATCAGGCCAGTAAGACAAGCAGTTATCACTAAATCAACAAGTTCAAACATAAAGGATCAAATTATGCTAAACACAGAGATTAAACAGTACAACTTATATCAGCAAGGCAAATAGAATCACATATTATAGGGGAAACAAGTCAGGAAAGACTAGTCTAAGATAATTAGCTGTTAGGGGTACATAATTGTCAGGGTAAGAACATACTAAGTGACAAACATAGTCATAGGAGCAAATCACAGCTAGAGTGAAGGTTTTAACAGATTAGGGCATACTAATAATATAAATTAATCACTATAGAAATTCAGAATAAGGCAACAAACAAGATGAGGCCATATAGCCAATGCAAACACAAACTACCAACACATTAAGCTAAACATGCTTCATATTGTCCAAATTTCCTAAGTCAAATACAAATACATTTTTAGGACTATCTATTTAGGCATGAGTCAATGCTAGAGAAGTTTGTATCATAATAGAATCACGCATAAAGAGAGTCGAGAAATTACGTCAAGTCATGCAATTTCAGAAACATGGATATGCTAATAAGAACATAAGAGAATGAACATTGCAAAGGTTAAGAACTAACTAGTTATTGCTCAACAGGTAGACAAACAAGAAAAGAACAACAATATGACCCAGAATCTCAGATGCGTCAAGTTCCCAAGGGCTTCAAAAAACCCAGGGCAGTGCTCACACCCAAGGAAGGTCGGAAAATAGGAAATCCAACGACCTTTCAGCCGGCCAAGAGCAAAAATAGAACAAGAGAATAAATGAACGCAGAGTAAAAGCATTAGTTTTTAATTGGAAGTTTTTAGCGATTCAGAGTCTATCCAAAAGGGAACGGGGGAGGGGTTTATATAGTAGTAAAAATAGAGCAATAATCAAGGAAACCGAGTTATTCAAGCAACAAACAAGGTAAATAAACATGCAAAATGATATGAAAATCAATTTAAGAGAGAGATATGTAAACCCTAGCTTTTAGGGAAAGTGAAAATCGGCCGAATCTAAACAAAAATAGAACTCACATAGTAGTCTGAACGTATATAGACAGAATAGTGTTCAAAATCAGAGATTTGAACCATTTGGTTCGATTTCGGAAGAGATTTGCTTGCCATGTTTAGGCAAGCACTTAGGTAATACCATAGGAGAACACCCAGTACCAAAAGGGGGTCGGATATGGCAAGAAATGGCAATCGAATCCCATATTCAGTCGGATTAGGAGAAGGTTTTAGGGGGGCGACGATTAGGGTTTGGTTGAAGAAGAGAGGAGTGACATAGAGAATAGGGGCGACGGTCTCTATGAAATAGGGTAGGGTTTCTGGGGTTAGGTTAACTAAAAAAGGGGGAAGGGACGGTGGCTGTTGAGCTTGAGAGATAAACGGCTGAGATAAAAAATTAGATGGGGCAGGTCGTTTAGAAGCGGGTCGCGATCGGGTATTAATCATGGGTCGTTTGGCTTTGGGATGGGGTAATTAGGCTTGGTATTTGAGTGTTTGAGCCATTCATTTGGTCCGAAATTGATTTAAAAAATTGGGTTGTTGTTTAAATACCAAAAATTTATCAAAATAATTTATAAAAATGGTTAATAAATAAATAAAAATATTATTTATGCACTAAAATAATTAACAATAATAACTCAACATTATAAAAATATAAAAATGCTATTTTGGCACAAATAATGTAATTATACATGAATGTAGGCTATTATTGCAAAAATGTGCAATTAGCCCAAAAATGCAAAATGCAATTATAGAAAAATAAAGTAAAATATTATAAAACATACATGTTGGCGTAAATAACAAGTTTGGATGATTAAATCATCATCAAAATAATTTAAAGGATAATTATTGGATATTTATATAATAAAATGCAGAAAAAAATTAATTTAGGGTTTCTAAAAATTATGGAAAATTATGAAAAAATGCTTGTATAGGTTTGTAAACTAAATGATGATGCAAATATGCTATTTTGAAAGTAGAGAAAATATGAGCGCAAAATTGGGTATCAACATCTACATATATGCTCCGGTTAAGGAATAAATTGCTAATGGAAAGCTTGAGTTTATTGCAAAGAGGAGGATTGTACCACGTATTTATACTCATTTATTTCGTTTATTTGTTATGCCTCATATCTGCTTATCATTTTTGTACCTGATATTATTGGACCACTAGTATGTGTCGATGTCGACCCATCGTCACTACTCCTCAGGGGTTATGCTAGATACTTACTGGGTACACGTTGATTTACTTACTCATACTACACTTGCTGCACATTTTGTGCAGGTACATATATGTCTAGTGGCCTTGTGGGCGCAGAGGTGTGATTATTTGCGGGGACTTAGGTGAGCTGCATTCCATGTTATGATCCGCACCCAGCAGAGTCTCCTTCAAAGTTATTTATACTCTCCTGTCTAATTTATATTCCAGACAGATCCTGTATTTTATTTTACTTCCTAGTGATGCTCATGCATTTGTGTCGGATTTTGGGGGTGATTATGGGTTGTTCAGTATTGAAATTGTGAATATATTTATATTTACTCTGTAAATTTTATCACTTATCATTTAACGGGAGGAAATTATGATTTCAAAATACTAAAAAGAGTAATTAAATTAATAAATTCTTGTTGGCTTTTCTGACAGCGGTGTTAGGCGCCATCACGACTTTTAATGGATTTTGGGTCGTGATAATAGTACTATTGCACTCACTATCTAGATCTTCTTATCTGTGATACGAATTCACACTTATAATTTTTATTTTTAAACCTTTTTAAACTTATATATAGAGTTTTAATAAAATTTAATAAGTGCCTTATTTGAGGGCGGAGTCAAGATTTTTAGTTAACACGTGAACTACAATTATTTTTGTCTATTGAATTCTAAATAGATTATTTGTATTACTACTATATATAAATGAGAAGAAGAGGACGAACACAGCTCTAAGAGTTGTACTATCTGCAACATTATATTGTAAGTATCTTAGAGATAAATCGGTAATTCGTCCATTCATTATCATAAAGACAGATGTACTATGTAACACGTGTCTTGCCTTTTATTACTCATATATACTTGCACATAGTCTACTGGTCCCTTTGAATCTTGATCTTTTCAGAAGCCTCAATTTTCCTGCGCTCAATCTCTCTATTCAGATTAGAAGATAATATTTTCGGGTTTACTTGCTTCTTTCATCTTAAGGTACTTCTAGCTTTTCCATTTATGCTAACTTCAGTGTTCTTCTTTCTTCTTCTCTCGCTCGATTGACTTTCCTTCTTCAGAAGATATTTTTCCCGGGTTTACGCAGTTCTTAAGGTATTTCATTTTTCCCGGGTTTACGCAGTTCTTAAGGTATTTCCTCCTTTCGTTTTGGGTTAAAATTTAAATTTTTGATCACATTTGGTAAATGGATCTTTTTGTGCTAATATTTGCTTTTGAATATTGGTAAATGGGTTCGTATCGGTCTTTTCTTTTTTTCTGGTATTAGGGTGAATGCTTAAATATGGTGATCACAATTTGGTGGGTATTCGTTATTTTCCTCTTATTTTGAATAATTTCTTACTAGAATATTTACATGTATGCCACTAATTTTACCTGATTTACACATGCATTATTTCTTTTCGGTGGTTTTTTTTTTGCGCATATACTCTCACTTATTTTACTGCAACTGCACAACAAAAACTCCTTTCCAAAGTGGAAGATAGAACTTTTAACAACTTGAACAATAGAGTCTCCATGACAAAAATTTACAAAATAGACACATCAATATTATTTAACCATTTATATAAAAAGAACAATCAGACAGTAAGAAACAACAACCACGGAAGACAAAGAAGATAATTTGGTAGAGGTCAATTACACTAAAGGTGCCAAGCTTTGCTACACTATGACAAGAAAACAAAGAATCTTGGAGTAGGCTATGCACTTATGGTATTTGATGATATGCGTGACTCATCTCATTTGGAGCTAACTTATGGTGCTGTCTATTGTGTCTGAAAACTTTTAATACTTGGGATAATAATTGGTTATATTGATGTTTGCTTACAGATAAAAATGACCGGATGTAGGGTACAATAGCATTTTGTTGTAGCGGCGATTTATCATTAAGGAGTAGGGAGGATGTGATGTTGGTTATGGAAGTTTTCGGTCGCCTTAATATTTTAGATTTACAGTTAAAACAATGTGTTACTTTCTTTTAAGTTATTTTAAACAAGTTTGCCTTAATCTTACCGAGTTCAGTTAATTTTTTTTTGCATACTTACACTATTTGAATTCGACATTTCGTCGCCGTTTGGCTGTTGAAGGCTTTTCTTCTGCACTATGAAATGTTAGCATTTCAATGTCCTCCATACAGGTTTTTTATGATTGGGAGATGGTGGCATCCTTGTGTTTACTGACCAGAGGTATTTGCTGTCTTTTTTGTTTTTGTTTTGTTTTTTATTGATTTGCCTAAAGTGATTATTTGGTGGTGGCTCGAAAAAATATGCAATCTTTACTTCAACTTTTGGTTATGTGATTTTTCTTTTTTGTATTGTTGTCATATATGAAAGCAAGTGTTGTTTTGGATAACTGGGATGGAAATGTGTTTGTGACTTTGTCAATACAACATTAACAAAGTCACAGATGTAAGTGATTTCCTTAACAACTATCATTACTGTGAAAAGAAGAATCTACAATCCGTTGGTTACCTAGGTGCAAAAAGGTATTATTAATATTTGACTATGACATAACTCTACAGATGAACTCAAAGAGCAATTGTTGCTCATTCTAATCATCATAGTGTGGTAGGAGTCTGACAAGAAATTTATAATTGAAAGGGAAACTAGATGATTGCTCAAAAAGCTCTTCTTGCAATATGGTACATGTAAATTATCACAGAGCCAATATAAGTTATTTAGAGGAAAAGTAAGCAGGTAATAGATATTTTGAAAGCCAAAAGTTATTATAATGAGCTATTGCATTTAACTATTTGTTGTGGTTATATTGGAAGAGAATCTCTTCCTTATCTCCTTTAAGGGTAGAAATTAGCTCTTTCGTATAATTTCTTGCAGTACTTGTATGTCTGTCCAAGCACAGATTTAATCTCTGCTAGGAGGAGTTAATTACTAAATAAAATTATACTCCGTAGTTAAAGTGCGACAATAAAGAAGAGTTGGTGCCAATGAAAATGAGATTATGGCATAAGAGATTAGTCCACTCGACTTGGACACAACCTCTAAAACAGAACCATACAAGAAAGTGAATAAATAAGTATCATCTTTAGAATTCAACACATAGAAAGAGATGATGTGTATGTCAAAAGGACCACAAATCGAAGAAAATATGGTCACCTTTCCCCATCCATTATATGATATGTGAGTTCAATGTTTTTCTCCATTCTTCAATGGGGATTTTCTATCAAATTTAACTCTTATGTGTGTGCCATATACCTAGAACGTAGCTACATCTTTTGCATTAGCCTTTCCTTACCAATTCAGATCAATGAAAACGTGATGACAACTTTTATGCCATAGCATCTTAAAGGAACCATGCATAAGATTTTTATACCTCTTGCTATTGAAAGTTTTAAGCTTCAATCTATCACTTACTTGACTGTTTAAAGTTGTATTTGTAATTTATTGTACTTGGAGTTACACTTCCAAAAATGAAGTTCTGAGCTTTCACTAATTATTTACTTGGTGTTCACATTGTGACTACTTTCTTCATTGAGAAGTATGGAAAAGATATATCTGAAACAGCTGCCATGACAGTTGCAGATTGCAGTAAGGCTTCAAACAATGGTACTTTTAGTTTACATGAATCACAAACCAAATCAATTGAGAAGCTAATACTTTGTACTAATTTCTATTTTTTTCAATTAGAGCCTATCACCAAGTTTCCAATTAATTATATGAAGGTCTATGTTAAATTTTCTCCAACATGTGTGCAATAAGTGGAAATTACTTTAGGTTATCGGTGTTTACTTGATTTTTGAAGGTACTTCAAAATGCCTCCCGGTGGTGTAGTTTTTGGAATAGCTGAGGGTGGCTACCAAGTTGGGAACGCTGACTCTAGCTCATTTGAAATGATGAATCAAGATGTGCTTGAAGATACAAACAATTTATATTGTTTTTGCATGTTATGTCTATTATGTTTAAATATAATTCTACAAGATGATGTACTTATGTCTTTTACAAATATTGTTGATGCGCATATATTTTTTTTTGCTATGCCATGTAAGGCCCCGTGAAAATTTTCACTCAAAACCCGAAAGCTCGTAGTGCCAAGTTAGGTATATGTGTTAGAGATTTGTAATTTGGATTGATCTGTACATTAAAAAGTTAAGGGATACTGTTTTCTAGAAAAGTGCATTTCTGCGGTCCACTATGCGATCGCAGAATAGCTATGCGGACCGCATAGTCGCCGCATAGTCAGGCAGTGTGATGGTTAATTTGAGGTCAACTATGCGGCCAATTATGCGATCGCATAATCACTATGTGGGCCGCATAGTTATCGCATAATCCCCTTAGAATTTTGTAAGGGGCAGTTTTGCGGTGCATTATGCGACCACAACAGGTATGCGGACCGCATTTTTGTCGCATACCCAGACATTGTGTTCAGGTTTTGGGACCATTTTTGCGCTCCATTTTGCGGGCCGCATGTCAGGAATGCGATCGCAAATTGTGTCGGGGCTCCTATTTTCTAACTTTTAAAACCCGACTCCATCCCATTAAAAACACCCATTAGATCACTTTTATGTGATTTTTACTGCAAATAGAGTGAGAGAGGGAGCTCTAGAGGGAGAAACTAACTCTCAATCCTTGTCAAATCTTTGAAGACTCTCAAGCAAAAATTTGATAGGCTTTCACCCCAAGAGGTAAGAAACTTGAGCCCTAATCTCTGGTTTCGAAATTCACACTAGAATGAGTACTTAGCTTGGGGGTTCATGGGAATAAGAATGGATTTCTTGCATGCATATAAGATCATAGAGTATTGGGAGGTTGTGAACTAAAAATAAAGCAATTGGGGTATAAAATGATAGAAATCTCTCACAAAAAGGACCTAAGATCACAATGCACCCTCAGTGCTTGAAAATATGCTCAAACGAGCTAGAATCTTAATCTTGTCTCTAATTCTTGGTTCGATTTGTAATTCTTATACAATAGATTGAAGTGCTAAAAGTCCCGGAATTTTATAAGAATTAAGGAAAGCTTTATTCGGGTATGTATGGCTAAAACCCCGTCTTTTAGAAATTGAGCTCCGTTGGTGTTTGAGTAAATACGGTAAGATTAAAGTTGAATTAATTGTTGTTTCACATGAATTTGGGGTTGTAACCTTATATGCGTGAAAGATGTGTCTCAATATGATCAAAGTGCTATTCTTGATAACTTGAAAAGGTGCAAGGAATACGAATCATGTATTGAAATGCTTAGACCTTAATTGAGATTGAAGCTGCACATGTTGTGCCATCTATGAAGTCTTATCTATGCTTACAGTTTAAATTGCTCTTGTGTGCACCTATTATCCTAAATTGCAAAGCTAACATTGAAGTTGGGAATGATGTGAAATGTGCCCTAGTGCCAGAAATAATGTGATAGTTGTGGCCCCAAGTGCCTATGAAATGATATATGTGAAACAAAGATTGAAACGAGATGATTAATGAGAAGGGAACAACGCCTTGGTATAGCGGCCTAGCCGATCGGGCCAAGATCGGACTCCGCTCAAGATAGCGGTGGTATTGTGAATGAATTCCGAAAAAAGGGAAAATGAGATTGTGATTGAAGTATATGTCTCAAAGGAGGCAACCTAGCCGATCGGGTCGAGATCGGACTCCACTCAAGATAGCGGTGGTATTGTGAACAATGATGAATAGTGTGAAATGCCCCAAACTAAAAGTTATGGAAAAATGATGTGAAAATTGTATGATTATTTTATTTGATAATGTGGTGATCGTTTAAAGTTTTGAGTTATACTTGTGATTTTCTTACTCTTGTATGAAAGTTCTTTCTAACTAGATGGTGTTTAGTTATACATACTAGTACTATTCCATGGTACTAATGTCCCTTTTGCCGGGGGCGCTACATTTTTAAATGAATGTAGGTGGCTCTATAGCGGGCAGTGCCGATCGCGCGTAGCGGAGTGTCCTCCTCTCGAAGTCTTGGTGAGCCCCTTTTTCCTTCAAGGGGTTATGTTGTACATCTTTTATTGTAGACTTTCACTTTTGAGGTATAGCCGGGGCCTTGTTGCCGGCGTTGTCATAATTTATCTTTTGTATCCATATAGGCTCCGTAGACGTTGTGTGGGTTACGTATGGTTGTTGGATGGGTCTATGAACTATGTTGTAACTCCGAACTCTTGCTTTCTTTAAAATTGTAACTGTATGGAAAACATGGAACCTAACTACGGTTTAAGGTTATGATATAAAATGAACTATCAACGTTGAATGTACACCCCCTCTTATTGTCTAATTAAACGGAAACCGGATACCTTAATCACATTGAGTTGGGTAGAAAGTGTTTGATAAGGCTTGCTCAGTTGGGTTTATTCGATTGAGCGCCGGTCGCGCCTCCCGAGGTTGGGGCGTGACATGCCATCTATTTTTCACATATAGTAAATCGTGTTTTGTATTGTTGATGGCATCAGAGTGAAGGTTGTCGTCATGGTAGATGAATTTAGATGCTTAATTGTTAGGACTCTCAAATTTAATTTGCAAAAAGTTGTATTTACTGTTTTAGCTTATAACTAGGTGTATTTCAGGGTGGTACGACATGCACGCAAGTGATGATCATTACATGTAACATTACCTTTTCAATGCAAGCATAGAACTGCATATGATTGTTGATGGCACTGACTGTATGCTAATTCAAAATGCATTTGAACTGGTCTCATTAACTCAAAATGGATATCCATTTTTCTCCAATTTTTACGTAAAAAATGATTGCTCCAAATCTCCCATAAAAAGAGTTTACTACAGAGCGTGTTTGGCCCGTGCTTTAGCACGGACATTGCTCATCTAGTATATTAAATAAATGTTACCACAATTACAATATTTGAGCCAAAGTTAATAACACCACACACGTTGTCAAACATACTACATAAACCTATTTTTCTACTACACGCTTTTTAATCCACCTAATTTGAATTCGAGCGGTGAACCAACTTAAAAAAGAAATGATTGTGTAGGACTATGAAGGTTCCTTATATTTAATTTTTGAAAAGATTACCAATCAAAATTAGATATGAATTTTTGATTGTAAATAAATAACAAATGAAACAAAAGCTACAACTCAAACAACGTATTGGTAGCACGTATCATGTGATTATTATAGTTTATTAAAACTCAATCCACAATAACTTATGATTATAATGTAAAATTTAGAAAAGAGTTTAAGTTACATAATTTAAAATCTTATTTTAATAATATTCGTTATAGTGACTTCTTTAAGTTACTAGAAACAATAACTGTGATCTGTTAAGCCTAGCAATATATAATTGTTAGTGAAAATAAAAGATTGATTGCTTGCGAATCTACAATAGGAGATGATCAGCAAGTTCATCTCAAGAAAGTTTATGATAATTGTACCTTGCATCCTGATACAAGCTAGAGCTATTTAGTACAAATTCATCAAGTATATATAAAATGTTTGGTAAGAGGTAAGTATTTAGTAGCTCGATCTTGGACATTTTTTAACTTTGAGTCGCTTGGCCAAGAAGAAAATAAAAAGAAAAAAAAAATTGCTCTAATGTCCATTTTGTATGAAACTTTATCATTTAGGCAATGAGGAGATATTTCTTTGGATAAAATCTTAGAAGTATATATAATTATAAAAATTCTTGCAATAATTTGTTACATTATTGTTAGAAGATGATCAACAGTTGATCTTCTTTGAACACATTGTCACATGAGTAACACGAGATAGTGCTGTTTATTTTTGAACACATCGTGTCAGTGAGATTAAATGTGCTTCACTTTAGTATACTTAAGGGATTAAATATGCGCAAGGTTATATTTGAGGGACCAAAATAAATTTATATTGGTCAAAAACTAAAGCAAACTGCACTATCCGTTTGAGGACATTCTGGTAAATTGACGCTCCCCGCGCACGTCTCCCGGTGTTCGAATAAATATTGTTTCCCTGGAAAATCAAATGGTAGTTTCCACTTTCCACCACCGTCCCCTTCCTCAGTTTTCAATTGCTTTCGCCGATGAATTACGAGCAGAGACTAATCGCCGCATCGAAGTTCGTCTACGCCGGCGACTCAGCCGACGATTCTCTGCCGGTCAACACTGTTGACTTGGGAGTTAAAGCGACTCTTAAACCTCACCAAATTGAAGGAGTCTCATGGCTTATTCGAAGATACCGTCTAGGCGTCAACGTCATTCTCGGTATTTTCTTCTTCTAGAAACTTCACACTTCTTATGTGTGCTCAAATATGTCGACTTTCAGGAAAAAATTAATAAGACTATCCGAAATTGCGCTGATAATTAATGGGTTGAATTTGCCTTGTTTTTGGGACGGAAGGGAGTATTTTTATTTTTAATTGATTGGCCTAATTTGACATAATTAATGATGCTCTCATTTTATTGTTCTTACAGGGGACGAGGTATAACTGCCAACACTGAAACCAGCATTTAAATTGAAAATAGTGATTTATTAAGGAGCAATATTTGTAGTCAACGGATAGTGTCTTGATTTTCTCTATGTTATGAATGGTTTATTGGCAGATGGGGTTAGGGAAGACTTTGCAAGCTATATCATTGCTGAGCTATCTGAAATTCTTCCTAAAGACTCCTGGACCATTCTGTGAGTGGGAAGACATGTAATTTTTATCTAATAATTAATAGTAGCCGAAACACATCCTAGGTAAACATTCTATGCTTAGATTTTGCAAAATGTTGCAGTGGTGCTCTGTCCTCTTAGTGTGACGGATGGTTGGATGTCTGAAATGGCCAATTTCGCCCCAAAATTAAGAGTACTATCCTATATTGGAGAAAAGGAGCACCGGCGCAATCTACGTAAGAAAATGTATGAGCATGTGAACAAGAAGGTGTTGTGTGATGTAAGTATTGGGTCCTATTGCACTTAAGACAATCAAATTTGAATTTTAAGTTGGTTTTTCATATACATTTATATAGGCTTATTTGAACTTCCTAAAGGCTTGTCGGGACATTACAATTTATTTTCTCTTCAAGAACTGTCAATTTATTTCTTTTACTTATCTCACTCTGAATTTCCCTCATTTCTTACAGGCAGAACCACTGTCTTTTGATGTGCTGTTGACTACATACGACATATTATTACTTGATGAAGATTTTCTATCCCAGGTTCCATGGAGTTATGCAATAATTGACGAAGCACAAAGGCTCAAAAATCCATCTAGTGTATGTCTGGAATTCTTCTTTTACATAAAATGCAACTGAGATATCACACCTGATCTTGGTATGAGATAGAATATTGACTACTTATGTAGTCACGATGTGTGCTCATGGTCTGCTGAAGTTAATTCCGTATACTACCTTTAAATTTGTATTAAGTTAATTCCGTGTGCTACCTTTAAATTTGTATTAACTAAATGCCTCTTTGAGGGTAAATAGGTGATATCTCTTCAATATCCTTATTACTTCGAAAATAAAGTTCTTCCAAATTTCCTTGAAATGCAAAGGCATTTATAGAAAAAGATTTTTGATTAACTTTTTCGTTAGTAGATTCCAATATCCTGTAATAGTGCAGTCTTGAAATGTTGAGTGCATTCAACTGCTCTACAGAAAGTAGGACAATATCTATTTCTCAAAGTTCAGGAGCAAAATTTATGTTTCAATAAAGCTTTTCGAGGGGTGTGGGTAATAAGCAACTGTTCTTGATCTTCTCCAACCCTATAACACAAATACCTTATGCTGCGTGTTTGAAATCTTTACAGGTACTGCATAATGTGCTCAAAGAGCGTTTTCTTATGCCTAGGAAATTGCTGATGACCGGCACACCTATACAAAACAACCTTACAGAGCTTTGGGCTCTGTTGCATTTTTGTATGCCTTCAGTTTTTGGAACACTGGATCAGTTTCTCTATGCATTCAAGGAAGCTGGCGATCCTTCATGTAATACTTAAGCCTGTAATGAATCATTGTCTTACTTCTTTTTCCCTTTTAAGATAAACCTGAAATTTTTTGGGCACTGCTTATTTGCTTTGTGAATCTTTTTTTGCAATTGTGATCATTTTCTGGTCTAGATATATATTTATTTATTTCACGCGTGGTTTCTGTAGTTGTCACTTGATGATACTTTATAGCATTTAGAGCACGATCTATAGCTTATTTACTTTGGTCTGCCAATGATGTCTGGTCTTTGCTCTTATATTTTCGTGCTTTAGGGACTGATAGGATAGAAAATTCATGTTCTACTTCTAGAGGCTAATATCGTGACTCATTTTGCACATTTACCTGCTGATAGTGATCACTAAATTAGATGCCTTCATGTCTTCCTATTAAACTGATGATTGAGCATGATCTAGTCTGAACTTATTTGATTGAAGATACGTGAGACCCTTCCAATATGCTGATGGCTCTTCTATTTCTCTCTCTCTGACATACTTCTGTAACAATTTGCTATGCTTACTGAAAAAAAAGGAGGCCTATGAATTGGGTTGACAGTGGTTGGGAAGGGGAGTGACTTGCTAGTGACAAGCTCCCAGCTAGAACAACATTCATTTTCATATATCTGAGAAAAAGTTATTGTTCTTCATCTCCCCCCGCACCCACAAAAAATACGCAGGGCTCTTCTAAGGGTTTGATTGTCCAGTCCTATGTTTTTCCAGTTAAACAGAGCGCTGCTCCTGTAACTTTTTGGAACAATAAAACAGACACGGTGCCTAAATCTTTTATAAATGGAAGTTTTCAACTGTGAATCAAGTGTACAGGCCACAAAATGATATTACAATAATTCAAGTAATTTTCGGTAAATAGATAAAGAAAGTGAGAATGATACTACATGTTGCCTAAAGATCTTGAGTCTATGACTTCAGTTTCCCAGTTTACAAGTATACAAGATTGAGATTCATCTTTCCATTTTTGGTTCTAGGGAAACAACTAGATTGCATTGAATTAATTAGGAGGGTTCATTGAAGAGTTTCTTTAATTCCCACAAGGCCATGTCACTTGTTTATATGTTATCACCATTCACTGAGCAGCAACATGGGGCGCCCCTATTCTTGTTCTAATGTATTTCCATTTTAACAGGCCGTGATGCAGACAAAGCTAAGGAACAATTCAAAATTTTGAAATATGTAATAGGGGCATTTATGCTCCGAAGAACTAAATCTCAGCTTATTGAGTTGGGGACTCTTGTGCTGCCACCTCTTACTGAGATTACTGTGTAAGTTAACCATCTTTGTCAGGGTCATTAATTTTGTAAATGATTGCTGCAGAACTCTCACTAGAGCTTGTAGAGGATATCTCTCTCTTTAGATGGTTGGCAATAATCTCATGTGATTTTTCCATGGACTTACTTTTGTGTAGTGTTGGTAATATGTTTGTAAATTCGATTCCAGGATGGCACCATTGGCGGCCCTGCAAAAGAAGGTATATATGTCCATATTAAGGAAGGAGCTAACGCAGCTGCTAGCACTTGCTTCTGGAGCACCCAGTACTCGGTCGTTACAGAATATTGTACATACCTATCTTTATTAGCCTGGATGTTTCTCATTTTGTTTCTCATTTTGGGTTGGTGACACCCAGATTGATGATTTTGATTTGCTCTTCTGTGTGGAATCTGGTGTGGTGAATTAACTTTTTGTGTCAATAAGAGAGTGCAACAAGAGGTTTCTTATTTTGCTTTACGCCATTGGAGTATAAGAAGCTTCTGAAGGTGATGAGTACTATTTAATGAACCAACTTGACATTTCAAGGATAAGCTTTACCTCTAAGTGCTTCTAGTTTATCATATCCTGAGTAGTGGAGAGGAGCTATGTTGCTTCTTTTGTAAGGTTTTCTGCATGCCAAATTCTGCCTATGCTGATCAGCAGGATTGGCATAATTGAAGGTGAGTTGGTAACTGGAGGTAAGAATTGAGCTATGAACCTTGGTTCCATCTAAGAGGAAGTCTAGTTAGTAAACCATGTATAATTGCCGACAGTTACATGTGGTGAACTTATGTTTATAATTACTATTCATACTTCAAATTTGATGACTTGTTACATGTAAAAGATTATGGTATTATACTCCATGTGTGAACCTTTTTGTACTAAGAAGGAATTTTACAGCCTCCTTAAGTTCAAAATAAATCTTAGTTAACACTCGTATCTGAAGCTTGGTAAACAGCAGACTGAAGAATTAGCAAAAAATTAGACGAGTCTGAGAATTGTTATGTAATCACGAACTTGAATGTAGACATTTTTTTCCATTAATATATGTAATTCAATTATAATGTTTCTACCTCATGTCTGTAATGACAAGTTATTCTGACATAAAAGGACTGATTTTACCTTATAGTCAGTAAGGTAACTATTGCTCCATTGTCTCTGTATTTCACATGGTATCAGAGCCATTAGGGCTCAAAGTTTTCTAAACAGAATTTCCGGCTGGAAGAAACAACTCCGGCGACCTGGCAGTAAGCGAGTGGTCTTCACGTGCTACCTGTTCTTCAACACTGCCTCTCACGCGCTGGCGCTTGGAGGCACGCGCTCAGGCAAGGTCCACTTTGGCTTGACATTCCGGCGTCACCCCGTCAAATCTGGCAGAACTCTGGTGTTTCTCTGGTATTAAAACCTTGTATGTAGACTGTTCTTTCTTCCAGGACTGCCTCTGCTCGTCTTTTGCTCCCATTGCTGCTGGGATTCGGTGATTTAGGTTTCAGAAATTTGGTTTGGTGATTCTTTTGCTTCACCGTTGGTTGACAACAGTTCTTTAGTCGAGTTCAGACGTTCTGGTTAGACCATTTTTTTTCCGTTGTTGATCGTAATGCTCTCTGACTTGGTTGAGTGTTATTTCGTTCACTGATTCTTAATCTTATTTTGCTGATCCTCTGAACCATTGGGTATTTTGTCAATCTGGTTCAATGTGAATTTATTTGAAAGGGATTGTGTTGGGTCAGACTTGTTGAACTCCCTGTTATTTATCAAAAATTACCCTCAGTCCGCTGCTGGTCTAAGTTGTCTTAGTTGAGGAAAATGACTGACAGGACAATTCTTGTTTCAGCGGAAGAATTTGTTAGATTTTGTCAGTAACAAAAATCACTTAAGGAATCTACTTCAGTTACTACCCTTGTTGAGATGGGTATAACATGTCTTATTACCTCTTCAAATAAATGGATAATTGATTCAGGTGCTACAAATCACATGGCAGGTAATCTTAATATTTTTTTTAGCTTTCGATCACACAAAGCACCCTCTCCAGTTACGGTAGCTGATGGATCAACTTGTAACAGTGTGGATCTGGAACTGTAAAACCAACCTCCACTATTACCCTGTCATCTGTATTCATAGCCTGTTTGGCTAAGCTTCTCCAAGTGAAAGCACTTTTTTTGTATTTAAAAAAAAAGTGTGTTTTTTCAAAGTTGAACTGTTTGGCCAAGCTTTTAGAGATTAAAAAAGTGCTTTTGAGGAGAAGCAGAAGCAGTTTTGGAGAAGTAGAAAAAAGTAATTTCTCTCCAAAAACACTTTTTTGAAAAACACTTTTGAGAAAAATGCACTTAGAACAGTTTTTAAAATTATGGCCAAACACTAATTGCTGCTCAGAAGTCCTTTTTAAGTAAATTAGCCAAACACAAACTGCTTCTCACGAAAAGTACTTTTGAAAAAAAAACACTTCTCAATATAAGCTGATTTTTGTAGCTTGGCCAAACATGCTATAAGTAACCAAGGTTGGCTTTTAATTTGATTTTTGTTAGTAAGTGATAGCTTGGCCAAACATGCTATAAGTAACCAAGGTTGGCTTTTAATTTGATTTTTGTTAGTAAAATCACTATAGACTTTAATTGTTATATCTCGTTCTATCCTGATCATTGTTTTCTTCACGATCTTACGACGAAACAAGTTATTGGTAAAGGACATCTATCTGGTGAGCTCTACATCCTTGAAGAATGGGAGCCTCGGTCTATTGCAAGTGCCAGTGTAGTGTCTCCATTTGAAGCACATTGTCGATTGGGACATCCGTTTCTACCTATACTGAAGAAGATTTGTCCTTAGTTTCAGAATATTTCTTCATTGGATTGTGAGTCATGTCGACTAGCAAAATATCATCTCATCTCATTAGGTCTAAGGGTTAATAAGCGAGCTGAGTCAGCTTTTGAGTTAGTCCATTCTGATGTTTGGGGATCATGTTCTGTTGTTTCTAAAACTGGGCATAAGTATTTTGTTACTTTTGTAGATGATTTTTCCCGAATGACTTGGATTTATTTTATGAAGAGCCGCTCTGAAGTGTTTACTCACTTTCCTGCCTTCTGTGCTGAAGTGAAAACTCAATTCAATGCTTCAATGCGGATTCTAAGGAGTGATAATGCTAAAAAATAAATGTCAGAATTCAGAACTATTTCAATCCTACATGAGACAACATTGTATTCTTCATCAGTCTTCATGTGTTGATACTCCCTCTCAAAATGGAGTTGCTGAGAGGAAGAATAAAAATCTGCTTGAAACAGCTTGGGCACTTTTGTTCCAAATGAAGATCCCTAAACAATTTTGGGCTGATGTGGTCTCTACGACTTGTTTTTTTAATTAATCGCATGCCATCTACTGTGCTTGTTGGTAATGTGCCTCATAGCGTGCTTTTTCCAAACAAGTCACTATTTTTGGTGGAACCTAAAGCGTAAGCACATGTTATGTTCGAGATGTTCGACCATCCGTTACCAAGTTGGATCCTAAGGCATTGAAATGTGTCTTTCTCGGGTATTCTTGCCTTCAGAAGAGGTATCAATGTTATTCTACTGAACTTGACAAATATCTTGTGTCAACTGATGTGGTATTTTCAGAGACTACAACATTCTTTTATGCACCTCCCATTTCTACTAGTCAGAGGAGAAAGATGAGTGGCTAGTCTATCAGGTTACCTATGCTTTGACAGAACAATTAGATGATGTTCTTCTATCTCCCACTTCTTCTATTGATCACCAGTGAACTATTGTGCCTTCAGCACCTGCTCCATCTGCGTCGGCAAGACCGCCAATTGTTCAAGTTTACTCTAGGAGGCGAGAGAACAATCATACATGTCCTGCACCAATTCCTTCGTCATAAGATCCTCCCCCGCTTGATTCTTTAGAAAACCTTGACCTTCCTGTTGCTCTCCGCAAAGGTACACGTACTTGCAAATCCGCACATTCCATTGCTAATTTTGTTTCCTATGACCGCTTGTCCTCTACGTTTCGATCTATGATTGCTTCTCTAAACTCTATCTCTGTGCCCAAAACAATGAAGGAGGCTTTGAATCATTCTGGATGGTCTGATGCAATGCTTGAGGAAATACATGCCTTAGAGTATAACCACATGTGGGATTTGGTGGATTTACCCAAGGGAAAGAAACCGGTAGGATGTAAATGGGTCTTCACAGTTAAAGTTAATCCAGATGGTTCCGTGGCAAGACTAAAGGCTAGACTTGTGGCTAAAGGGTATGCTCAGACTTATGGGGTGGATTATTCAGATACCTTCTCCCCAGTTGCCAAACTTACTTCTATCTGCTTATTCATTTTTTAGCTGCTTCTGAGAATTGGCCTTTACATCAGTTGGATATCAAGAATGCGTTCCTTTGTGACGATCTTCAAGAGAAAGTTTATATGGAGCAACCACCCGGTTTTGTTGCTCAGGGGGAGTATGGGAAAGTTTGTCATTTGTGAAAATCTCTATATGGTCTAAAGCAGAGTCCTCGTGCTTGGTTTGAGAAATTTAGCGATGTAGTTCAGGAATTTGGATTGAAGAAAAGCAAATGTGATCACTCAATCTTTTATAGACAGTCATTGGTTGGTATTATTCTTCTAGTTGTTTATGTTGATGATGTTGTTATTACGGGAGATGATTTTGCAGGAATTTCTCCTGTCAAGAAGTTTTTACACACGCCAAGTTTCATACCAAAGACTTGGGCTAGCTGAAATACTTCTCGGGCGTAGAAGTAGCAAGAAGCAAGAGAGGGATTCTCTTGTCCCAGAGGAAGTATGTAGTTGACCTACTTGCAAAAACTGGAAAGTTGGGAGCCAAGCCGTGTGGCACACCAATGGTTCATAATGTACATCTTACTAAGGATGATGGTGACCTTTTTGTTGATCCAGAAAGATACAGGAGGTTAGTTGGGAAACTAAACTACCTCATAGTAACCCATCCAAATATTTCCTATGCAGTTAGTATTGTCAGTCAATTCATGTCTGCACCGACATTCAAACGTTGGGCAGCCTTGGAACATATTTTGTGCTATTTGAAAGGAGCTCCTGGCCTTGGCATATTGTATAGCGATCACAGACATATCGTATTGAGTGTTTTGCAGATGTTGATTGGGCTGGATCAAGAATTGATAAAAGATCTGCTATTGGTTACCGTGTCTTTGTTGGTGGAAACCTTGGTATCTTGGAGGAGTCCGAGTATAGTGCTATGGCTCAATCCGCATGTGAAATATTATGGATACATCACCTTTTAGCTGAGGTTGGTTTGAAGCCTTTGTCTCCGGCAAAACTTTTGTGTGATAATCCAGTGTACCATGAAAGAACGGAACATATTGAGGTTGACTCTCACTTTGTCCGTGAGAAGATTCAAGAAAATATGATGAACAATTGGGTGATGTATTCAGGAAGGCTTTAAATGGAACTCGGGTGGAATATCTTTGTAACAAGTTGGGCATGATTAATATCTATGCTCCAACTTGAGGGGGAGTGTTGCAGAATGTACATAAACATAATTTCATATAGTATACATAGCACAGTCATAGGTAGAGATATTTAAAGGATTTTGTGATTTTGTTTCCTTAAATAGATACACTTGTACACCCACAAATTGCTCTCATTCTTTGAATAAGAAGATAAGAATGTTGCTCCATTGTCTCCATATTTTACAGTAACATACATATTAGTATTTGAGCATACCCTTAACATTAGCTGTCAATAATCTTTTCAGTTATTGCAATGTTTTCCCAATCACGTCTTTGAGTGATTCAAAGATTTTTACACCACTTCGACCAATCAAAAAGACACAATACACTTCTTTTCTAATAATATTTTTAGAATTAGCATTCTCTGCAGAAGATAGGGCGCAATGGAAGAAAAAGATATCTGTAGGCGATAAGTATTAGTTGAGTATATGTTTTTATTGAATATTTGATTAGCTTAATCGTAGTGATTTGATTAGCTTAATTATAAGAGTTTTATTTGATTAGCTTAATTATAGGAGATTTTATTGTATTTGATTGTAATTAACATTATTGTCTTTGATTTTCTTTCCTAAATTAGAGATAAGACCGATTGTATTAATATCCTAGTCCATAGGTTATACAAATATTGAAATATACAAAGAAGCCTTTTCTTCTTCTCAAATTCAACATGGTATCAGAGCCATTGTTGTCTTTTTTAAGGTGAGTTATCTCCCTCTGCAACGCTAGGGTTCCTTTTGTAGCAAAGAGGTCGAGTTTTTCTCGCTGAGTGTCGCCGACATATTTCGAGCCTACCTTATCAGTTTCATCAATTTTTGGAGTAGCAAAGGTGTGGTTCCAACGTATCAGAACCTTTTTTTCAGCTAGATTTCCCATTTTTCTTCTCTGAATAGTAACCAAGTTCACTGTTCTTTGATTCTGCAGATTTTTATTTTTTGAGAACTGTTATTTTTTTAAATTATGGGAGACTCAAAGCCAGTAGTTACCAATTCTGTAGATAATACTGTTTCACATGGTATTTCACAAATTAGTATGGTAACATTGGAAGGGGCTGGTCCATATCTTGCTTGGTCAAGATCTTGTTTGCTTTTTATTACGTCTAGAAAGCTGCTTGGTTATATTACCGGAGAAAAGAAAGCACTTGTTGTGACTGATGCTAGTTATAGATAATGGGATTCTGATATTTTTCTTACTATGACATGGTTGTTGAATACAATGTACCCTCGAATTTCTAGTCAGTATTTATTGCTTGATACTGCTGAATAAATTTGGAATTCAACTAAGCGTACTTACTCTCGCAAGGGAAATGATGCCCAGATTTTTGAAATTCGAAATAAAATTCATGCAACTAAGCAAGGTGAATTGACTATCACTGATTACTATTCCGAGTTAAGTGGGTTGTGGTAGGAGATTGACTATTATCAGGATATCTACAAGCAAAGTGTACTGATGATGCAATTCTCTTTCAACAATTGGTTGAAAATGAAAGGGTCTATGATTTTCTGGCCGGTTTGAACCAAGAATATGATCAGATCGGGGTTCAAGTTCTCGGTAAAGTTCCTTCTCCTTCTCTTGAGGATGCATATTCTTATGTTCAACAGGAAGAGAGACGACGAGGGGTCATGCTTTATTCAGCACCAATGGAGAAGTCTGGGTTAACTATGTCTCATGAGCAACCAAAAGCATTCACTTTTGATAAAGATCACATGCACTGTGATTACTGTGGAAAGCCAAGGCATACAAATGAGACATGCTGGAAACTACATGGTCGACGAAGTAGAGGTCATGGACGAAAACGTGTAGGTCCATCAAGGGGTCAGGCTAATATTGCAGAACTATGGAAACATCCAAGGAAACAGCTTCCGGAGAAGCATTGTCTTTGGATGAAGTTCAGAGTCTTCGTCGTCTCCCGAATAAACTTGACTCTTCTAATATTGCTACTTCCAGTTATGTGCAGTCAGATATTTCCTTTAATGCTCTTCTTATTTCTTGGATTATTAATTCTGGTGCGAATAGACACATGACAGGCTCCTCTAAAGGCTTTCAAAACTACTCTCTTAGTCCCAAAGGGGATTATGTTAGAATAGCCTATGACACCCTAACTCATATCTCTGGAACAGGTTCTGTTGACTGCACACCTGATATTACATTATCATCCGTCCTCCATGTACCTGAGTTTCCCATTATAACCTATTATCTGTTAGCGTCATCACCAAAAAATTAAACTGTAGTGTCGAGTTCTTTCCTGATCATTGTGTTTTTCAGGATTTTCAAACAAGGAAGATGATTGGCAGTGGTAGATTGCCTGATGACTTATATCGGATTGATGGAACTTGAGACTTTGTTCGGGCCTATTTTGGAGGAAATAAGGATGTCAACCAAGAAATAATACAATGGCGTAGTCGATTGAGGCACCCATCATTTTTTGCTTTAAAGAAGTTATATCCTAGTTTGTTTTCTAGAGTCGAGTTTGAATCTTTGTTTTGTGATGCTTGTGAATTTGCCAAGCATACTAGAAACTCTTATCCTTTGAGGGATAATAAAAGTACAACTCCTTTTTCGATTATTCATTCTGATGTATGAGGTCCTACTCAAACAATTTCTTTGTCTAGTAGTCGATGGTTTGTTACCTTTATTGATTGCTGCACTAGGATGACTTGGGTGCATTTGTTAAAGGCCAAAAAGTGAAGTTTTCTCATGTTTTCAGTCTTTTCATAAGCTGGTCAGTACTCAGTTTGAGGCTAAGATAAAAATCTTACAAACTGACAATGGCACAAAATACATGGATAAAAATTTTGGTGCTTATTTGGAGTCTTATGGGATAATCCATCAAACTAGTTGTCCTTATACTAGTGCACAAAATGGGGTTACTGAAAGAAAAAATAGGCATTTGTTAGAAATGGCTAGATCTCTTATGTTTACCATGAAATTACCAAAACCTTACTGGGGAGTAGCTGCTTATCTCATCAATAGAGTGCCACATAAAACCCTCAATTTCTAGAGTCCTTTGCAAGCTTTAATGGGTAAGAATGATTATATTGTTCCTCCGAAGGTATTTGGGTGTATCTGCTTTGTTCACACTAGAAACTCTAGGAAACTTGATCCTAGAGCTCCAAGTGTGTCTTTATTGGTATTCTCCAACACAGAAAGGGTACAAATGCTATCATCCTTCCTCCCGGAGATCTTTCGTTAGCATGGATGTTACCTTTCGAGAATGTGAGCCCTATTTCAGTATTACACCATCACCTCTTCAAGGGGAGAGCTATAAGGAGGAAGAGATGATTCTCCCAAGTTCCACCATTGAAACCATTGCCACTACCACCGGGGAAAATGAAATTGGAGAAAGAATTCAGGGGGAGAGCGTTTGGATAGGTCTGATTTGAAAACTTACTCAAGGAGAAATAGAGTAGAAGAAGTTATCATGCAATTTGCCGAAGTTGAACCTTATTCTATTAGTGAGTTATCTACATTTCCCAATGAGTTAAATTTGCCTATTGCTCACAGAAAAGCAGTTAGATCCTGCACCACCAAACATCCTTTATCTAATTTTGTCTCCTATTATTCTTTGTCTCCCTCCTATAGAGCCTTTACCTTTGTCTATTTCTTCTGTGTCAATTCCCCAGAATTGGAGGGAAGCTTTTGTAGATCCTAAATGGAAGCAAGCTATGAATGAAGGAATGAAGGCCTTGTCAAAAAATAAAACATGGGAACTTGTCACTTCACCACCAGACAAGAAGTTGGTTGGCTGCAAATGGGTCTTCACTGTGAAGCACAAAGCTGACGGCTCAATTGAAAAATTCAAAGCAAGATTGGTGGCTAAAGGATTCATTTAGACTTATGGATTGGATTATCAAGAGACATTTGCCCCTGTTGCTAAAATGAACACTATCAGAATTCTTTTGTCTTGTGCAGCAAATCTTGATTGGGACTTGCAACAGTTCGATGTGAAGAATGCAATTCTTCATGGAGACTTAGAAGAAGAGGTGTATATGGATATTCCTCCTGGATTTGATACTGAACAGAGTCAAGGAAAGGTGTGCAGATTGAAGAAAGCTTTGTACGGATTGAAGCAATCTCCTAGAGCCTGGTTTGACAGATTCTGCAAAGTAATGATCTCCTTTGGTTACCAACAAAGCAATGCAGATCACACTCTCTATTAGACATCAAAGCGCTAAACTCACTCTTCTCATAGTTTATGTTGATGTCATAGTAATGGAAGAAGATGACAAAGAGGAATTAACCCGATTGAAGAATTTGTTGGCACAAGAATTTGAGATCAAGGATCTAGGAAAACTACAGTACTTCTTGGGAATTGAGGTTGCTAGATCAAAAAGAGGAATCTTCATTTCTCAAAGAAAGTACGTTCTGGATCTCTTGAAAGAAACCGGTATGATTGGTTGCAAACCAACAGAATCACCCATTGAGTGCAATCACAAGCTACAAACAGGGGTTGGAGAGTCGATTGATAAGGAGAGATATCAGAGGCTAGTTGGAAGGCTTATTTATCTCTCTCACACTAGACCAGACATAGCTTATTCAGTGAGCTTAGTGAGTCAGTTTATGCATGATCCCCGAGACTCTCATATGCAAGCTGTCTTCCATATTTTGTGGTATTTGAAATCTGCTCTGGGAAAGGCTTGCTTTTCTCCAAACATGGTCACCTCCTGACAGAGGCCTATACAGATGCGGATTGGGCTGAGTCTCTAGATGATAGAAAATCTACATCCGGTTACTGTACACTCGTAGGAGGGAACTTAGTCACTTGGAGAAGCAAGAAACAAAGTGTAGTTGCCAAATCAAGTGCCGAAGCAGAATTTAGAGCTATGGTCCAGAGTGTTTGTGAACTTATTTGGTTGCAAAAGTTATTAGACGAGGGACTGTTTGAAAAAGGGGAATTTTCCTTGTACTGCGACAACAAGGCTGTAATCAATATAGCAAATAATCCTGTTCAACATGACCGAACAAAGCATGTTGAAATTGATAGACACTTCATCAAAGAAAACGTTACAAGTGGTATCCTGAGGTTGCTTCATGAGTCGTCAGGAAAACAGCTAGCTGATGTACTTACAAAAGGTCTCAACAAACGGACTTTCCATACATTGATTTGCAAGTTGGGCATGTGCGACATCTTTGCACCAACTTGAGGGGGAGGATTGAATATTTATTAGCTTAATTGTAGTGATTTGATTAGCTTAATTATAGAGATTTTATTTGATTAGCTTAATTATAGGGATCTTATTTTATTTGATTGTAATTAGCATTATTATCTTTGATTTTCTTTCCTAAATCAGAGATAGGACTGATTGTATAAATATCCTAGTCCATAGGTTGTACAAATATTGAAATAAACAAAGAAGCCTTTTTTTCTTCTCAAATTCAACAGTTTTAGACGGTAACACTTTAATGGTCTTATAATTTCTAGGAGTGGTTTAACCTTTCAGAGGTTTATACATTTAGAAAATATGCAGAACTTCTAATACTTTTTATTTGCATTTGCATATATTGGCATGGGATAATTTAAATGGTGTAATGTGATAAGTGATGATTCATATAGCCAACCCCAACTACTGTGAGACTAAGGTGTTTTGTTGTTTACAGTTGGATAGTAGGAGTTTTTGTTATCAGATGGAAGTAAAGGAGCTTGTTGGGACATTTTCTTGCATTTAGGAGAGGTTTAATGGCATTCTTTTTTAAGCTGTTCACTTCCTTTCTGAGTTGAATTTTGCATTCAGTGAGATTCCACCAAGTATCTTTACTGCTGCTCAGCATCTCCGCTTCGAAATATCATGTTTAGTATCTATCTGATTTTAACCTTTAAGGGGCGAGACAAATGCTTCAGAGTTGAAGATTTATTTGTCGGAACTCAGCTTGTTTCTTCCCTAAAACTAACCTGCAGGCTCGCTTTCAGGTAATTCAACTACGAAAAGCATGTAGTCATCCTTACCTTTTTGCTGGTATAGAACCTGAACCATATGAAGAGGGAGAACACCTGGTTCAGGTACTGTATCTGCTTTCTGCTGATTGTCATTATATTTATTTATGACTCTAGATTTCACGCTTGTTATGCACCATAAATAATTGGATCGACCCGGCAGTTAATAGTTATATAGCTGTTAGGTATTTTGGCATTGAAGATTGGGGCAAAAGACTATGCTACATTCTTTTGGGGCAAAAGATTATGCTACATTCTTTTGGGGCAAAGATTATGCTACTTTCTTTTGTATTCACTATATTCACGTCACACTGTGTAAAAGAAGTATTTACTTGTTCATGAATTCTTATCTTCTCACCATTAAATACTTCTCAGGCTAGCGGGAAATTGCTCATTGTGGATCATCTTCTTCAAAAGCTTCATGCTCATGGACATAGAGTCCTTCTGTTTGCTCAGATGACTCAAACACTGGATATATTGCAGGTAAGTGTTTGTATCTGGTATCTTTTGCAAACTCTAGTGGAATGTTTGAACAGTACAAGCTTTATTTAATCTTTCTACTTCTTTGTTTATCTTATGCAGGATTATCTGGAATTGAGGAAATATTCTTACGAGCGTCTTGACGGTTCAATTCGTGCAGAAGAGCGCTTCGCTGCAATAAGGAGCTTCAGTCAACAGTCAGCCAAGCGAAGCTCAAAGTTGGAAGCTGATCAAAATGGAGCATTTGTTTTCTTGATTTCAACAAGAGCTGGTGGAGTTGGATTGAATCTTGTGGCTGCTGATACTGTAAGTGCCAATTGCTACCCCAACTTTTATCATCAAATGGTTTAGTATTATACACATGGGATTGATCTTATGATCCATATATTGTAAAGGAGTGATTCATTTTCTTTACATGCTTTTCTGAAGTCATTGTCTCTAGTCTGTAGTTCTCATTTCATGAACTTTTTCTCTTATTGAGAGATGGAAAGAGGTGATATGAACGCTTGGATCATGTCTGTAGCGAAGTTGTAATGCACATGGAAAACATCTGTACCATTCAAGCTTAGACTGTTTGGATGTTTAATCTCCAATTTGTTAAAGAACATTAACTGCATACGTGGATATTGATGCACTCCTCTTTTCCTAATAATTATCATTATGATGTTTAGCGATTGAGTTATACAGGCAAGGAAAAATGCTTTTAGCTCGTATTACATACGTTACAGTGATGTCAATTGATACCTATCGGGTGATAGGCGGAGTATGTATCGGGAAGCCATGATTTTTCCGAAAAAATGCTTAATGGTGAATATCTTGCAAGTTAATTGAATGATATACTTAAATTATTGTCTTAAGTTTGATCTCAAGTGCACAAATATAGTCATTGCTCTTTCTTATGGCCACTGCAGAGTGGTTTTGTGTACATCTGGACCCGTCGAACCCTGATTTGACATCTAATTCTTTCAGCTCCTTGACAAGTTATGGTGGTGTAGGTCATATTTTATGAGCAAGACTGGAATCCCCAGGTAGACAGGCAGGCCTTGCAGCGTGCTCACCGAATTGGTCAAACAAACCATGTGTTATCTATAAATTTAGTCACGGAGCAGACGGTCGAGGAGGTGAGAAGAGGATTGTAAACTATCTCGAAGTTGATGTTTAGTTCCTCTAAGTGAAGGTTCTAACTGTGTAGGTCATTATGCGTAGAGCACAACGGAAGTTACAGCTTAGCCAGAATATTGTAGGAGATGATGTCTTGGATCAGGAAGGGAAAGAGATGGCAGGAGCTGAAGCTGGTGACTTGCAATCTGTTATACTTGGATTGCATATGCTAGATCCTGCAGAGATAACCAATGAGGAATCAGATGAATTTGATAGGACTGAGTTGACTGCAATGGCAGAAACAATTATTGCATTTCGCAATGAAGAACGTTCTGCCAAAGATGAGTTTGAGGTAAAGCCAGTTGACAGGTTAAGCGAGTTCAATGTTGTCACAAAAAGAGGTCCAGAATCTATTAAGCTTGATCCTCGTCTTGATGAAGCTTCATATCTCGCGTGGGTTGAGAAATTCAAGGAAGCATCACAGGCCAACCATGGTCCGATTTTTGAGCTGGGCAATAGAAGAAGGTTGCCTGAAGAAAAGCATGTAAAAACTGAAGCTGCAAAGAGAAAGGAAGAGGAGGAGAAGTTGTCAAAGTGGGAAGCTCTTGGATACCACTCATTATCTGTCAGATATCCTGTATCAGCTCCTGATACTGATATCTCCTCAGATTCCGGCGTTGTTCATTTTGTTTATGGGGACTGCACTTATCCTTCTAAAGTGTCTCCATCAGAGCCGACCATTATATTCAGGTTTTATATGCTCTCCGTGAAATCTTACCTTTCTTTGTCAAGCTTGTGATGCTTCTTGCAGCTTCTATAGAAAGTTTCTTGGCTGTTGTTCTAATTGCACAAGTATTTAGCTTCTCTTGAAACTTTGTTGTGAAATCTTGTTTGTTCTCTTTGATCAAGTTCTTTTCTTTTTCTTTCCAAAAGTTCTTCTCTTGCTTGCTTGGAATCTTCGTATATTGTATTTTATGACAAAGAGGATTCCATGGTAACTACAATTTCCTTTCAATTCTGACTCTTCCTTGCAAGCTGCCATTGTTGAATGGTTTGGAAGTATATGTATGTAACTAAATAATTACTTAATAGAGGACGCTTGTATCTGATAAATGGTTAAAAGCACTCCAAGCTGGCAAAAATTTATTTTGTGCTGCATGTATTTCTTATCAATATTTATTGGCAGCTGCGTTGATACATCCGGAAGCTGGGGTCATGGGGGTATGTTTGATGCATTGGCGAGATTATCATCTAGTGTACCCGCTGCATATGAGCGAGCTTCTGAATTTCATGATCTTCATCTAGGTGATCTCCATCTTATAGAGATTACAGGTAAATTCAGTTTCTTTTACTAGTAATAATGTGCTTGTTTTCCTCGACATCACTAGCGCTGACACTCAAGGTTTTAAACTTGTCCTATTCTTGTTACTCGTCTAAGCTAATTAAGGAACTGACTGACTTGTGTTATTCAGGTGTACTTGATATCCACTTTATCAGCTTACATTCAGTTCATGTCAGAAGATTTCTTTCTATGATGGAGTTTAGTAGTACCATTTTGCATACATATCTGTATAACTGCTGCAACTCAATATTTGCATCCATAGTCAAGTCAACCGTGGTATCAATTTGAAACCATGCAATGTTTGCTTAACTTGGCATGTCACGACTTGTCAATTAGGACTGGCTGGAAATATATGAGATGATATGGTAGTAGATAGTAGATATGCACACTATGTTGATAGAAAAGCTGAGGGTTCACGCTGGTCTTAGTGGAAGTTTTCTTGGAGTTGCTTTTAACAAAAGACCTTCTTGTCTTTTGCTGTGACTAGTATTAGAGTACATTTCAAATCAATGAATATAAATTTTTAAAAATTACATAGAGAGTATGCATAGAAGTGTTCGAATTATCAACTAAAATTAAAAGATCTGAATTGCTGAGAAAAAAATCATGATCGTTAATCGCATTTATCTAACTCAATAAAAGAAGATCTCTTCTCTACAAATGCCTTGTTATTTGGACTTCCGTTAGGAATAGATTTAGGTTTTCATGCTACTTTCTAGGTAGATTCGATCATTATCATTACAAGAGATGATACTTGCTAATATATGTTGTCAACCCTTTTAACTCGATAGCAATTGGTAATATCAGTTAGCCACACATTTCTAATTTGATATTTGTTCGTGATTACATGCAATATCTATCCGCTAGATAGATTTATCGACACTATAAGAAACTAAGAAACTCTATGACAATACTTTTGGAAATATTTTATTAACATATGCTTTTAAAGAAAAGCTTAAATAGCTAACATTTTCAATATTACCAACCCTAAATCTTAAAAATTTAGCAATATGAAAATAATCTTGAGCTCCTAAGTGTGACTTCTATACAATTTGCTTTAAGTTTTCGTCTCTTGGTATTTTGAAGTGCGAGACTTCTAATGTCACCTGGATTATTATTGTTCCAGGTGAAATAACAATTTTTAAAATTATAAATTCTTGTGAAAATTAACTTACTCAACTTACATAATTTATCTTACCCGTGATTATATTCCTATATAAGGGCTTTCGTGCTTTTAATATATTATAGATATAGATTAATTTAGTCTCTCATTATTTACCATCTAATTGGAATTAAGTTGTTGTGAATACTAAATGAAGTAAAATAGTTCTTAAAAGAAATTTCTTATTTGATGTTAAAAATTGTTTTGTTCGTCATGAATATAATTAGAGTGCCATTGGGATGTCACGTAATTACGGAAACTATGTATGAACGTCTACCAATTTTGTACTAACATACCAAATAATTGACTTTTTAAACATTTAGTTAAGGTAAAATTTTAATCAATTTTAAAGTCCTATATTTTAGGTATCTAATTTAAATAAGGAAAGATTTAATAACCAATTTAATTTTCATGTCCTAAATATTAGGAAATGCTTAATTGACTATTTTATCCAGTGTGAACCCTACTTTTAAAGGGTAAAAATGGCGAACAACATTTCGCTAAGGGCTTTCTTGCTTTTAATATAGTATAGATGAGAAATAAATGAAAGTCCAAATTAGCAGAAATGAAAGAAAGAAATGATAGATCCGCGTGGGATGCAGTTGATTGGTGGTTTCCAGGAGTTGTTTATTGCTGCATGCAGTGCAACGCTAAATTCTTTAGATGGGAAAATAAAAGTAGCTCAAGATTACTTGTTCTGTATTTTTCTTTTCTTTTCTGTGTTCTTCATGCCCTGGTCACTTCTGTCAATCTTCTTTATTTGTCTTAGGCTTTACCTTTAATTAGTTTTTTTCTCCTAATCTCCACATGATCATTGTTATGTAGAGGATCTCACTAGTGGCAGTGGTTCACTTCTGTCAATCTTCTTTATTTGTCTTAGGCTTTACCTTTAATTAGTTTTTTTCTCCTAATCTCCACATGATCATTGTTATGTAGAGGATCTCACTAGTGGCAGTGGTTCACCTCATGCTCCTCAATGGGTAGCTTTGGCTGTTGTGCAGTCCTACAATCCTAGGCGCAAAGTCCCACGTGGCAGTATCTCCATCCCTGACTTGGAGCATTGTCTATCAAAAGCATCATATTCAGCTGCTCAAAAGTCTGGTACATTCAGTTTCCATGCTTCTAGAGAAATTTCTTCTGTTCTACTTGTAGTTTGAGTTCTCTTTGTTTTTGTATCGTCTGCAGTTGGGTTCCTATTTTTAAATCTTTGCATAAGTATAAATTTGTTATTGTTGTTGATGTTGCATAAGTATAAATTTGGTATTTGAGATATTCTGGGAACTTAGTAGGACAGTATAACGACAGGTTGAATGGGGAGAGATGGAGGCGCTCTAGCATGGGTGCCTTAAAAGGAAGAACTTTCTTTTTTCCGTCTTAAAGTTGGCAGTTCCCAATGCTTCTCTTTCTATCTTTTTTCTTTTAGTTGGATGACCCTGAAGGGACGTTCCTGGTGCTTCTCTTTGCTCCACGAAATGTGCCAACTTCGAGCGCTTTACTAAAACTCTACTAGAATCCGAGACGAAGTTTGACATGAGTTTAGGTTAAGAACGGAGATAATATATGTCTTGTATAGCGCATGTTCCATGGGAAGTTGCATTCAGAATCGTGTTGATATAGCTTATGATCATTGGTTTTGGCCATGCCACCAGGCATTCTTTAAGACATTTCATAATGGTCCAAACGCTTTGTTGCATCTCCTCGAATATAGTCATAGCGATCTCCTCTGGTACAGATATATCAACCAGTATATATCAATCAGTTAACTATTCCTCAATCCAAGTTAGTGTGGGGTCGGCAATATGAATTTTCTGTATTTGTAATTCTCTTGTTCATGCACATTTCCTTCAAAGACTAGATCATTTGTCATTTAAGCAAATTAAGAGAGAAATTGGTCATATACTTTCTAACGTTGAGATGCGTAGAATTATGGACAAGGAGTTACAGCCAGGTTGGAGTGTAAATACTAATTTTCATTTGCTGTTTAAACAAGTGAAATAAGCGCAAAAAACTGAGATTGATATTTGGAGCTGCTGAAATGGATATCGGATGTTTTTGAAATGTTTACAAAATGGATTTAGGTGCTTTCAAATACAAGAACACATCAATCTAATGATGTTTCCTTCTTGTATGAAACAAGGAGACTGATGTAATATTCCTAATAATTATTAATCTCAGAACAGCAGAAGTTGTATTAATAAATATTAGTAACTTCTCTGAGCAGACTAGTATCTACGAAAATTAGAGTAAACATTAGTCAGATTATACTGCAACCAACTTGTACATATATGTAGAAAAAGTGTATTATGGAAATGGTTGTACAAAAAAACTTTCACCAAAGTGATGTGCTATGTTTATCCCTAGTCAAGAATGGTTGTGGCCTTGTGGGATGTGGGGCGTACATATGTGCAATGTGCCAGTAGTTCTCCGCCTATACCAGCTCTTGGTAAAAAACAAAAACAAGAAATTTCTGTAGTTATTTGAATATTACCAGATCATTGTATTGCCAAATGTATCTGTTCAGAAGCTTCCTTGGCTATAACATGGTGCATGTCCAACTAATATCATGTTTACATTTGGAAGCATTGCTCAAATACTATCATTTGATGGTGACTTCTTGTTTTCTGCCGGCACAATATCCTAATCGTTTATCAACACTTTTTGATATTTCAAGCATCAATCCACATGCCAAGAATTGGTTATCAGGATGGTTCTGACAGGTCAGAATGGTATACAATTGAACGTCTGCTGCGGAAGCATGCTGCTCTCTACGGCATAAATATCTTTGTGTAAGTTCCTTCAATACACATCTAATCTAGTTGTACATGTGCAGCAATGCATGTATATGCTTTAGCGAAGTTGGTTGTTGAAGGATTATGGTAGATTTTGTATTCATTGGATGTTTGCGTTTTTAGCTTGTACATAAGAAGACTTGAGTTTGCAGTTTACCCCTTCTCCAGAAGAAGGAAAAAAGGAAAAAAGAAGGGAAAATAAAAAGAAGCCAAATTCCCCTTTCTAGTTGGCTAAAGTGTGATAACAGCTACTGCAATTTTAAACCAAGAACAAGCATTCATCGTCAGATTCCATAAGCATAATTCCTTTTATTTCATGTGTTCAGGTATTATTTCCGGCGTTCAGCACAGAGCTAAGAGGGGGACAGTATCAGTGTTCCATACGCAACGGACACATCTGAAAAAATCCAGTTAGTGTAGATTAACCTTATGCAGTATGAAGTTGGTCAGCCTGTGACATTCTAGATGTTAACAGTTAGAATACCTGTATCCTTTTGGTCTAGGTGTGAGTTAAGCAATGATAATATGATGTGGAAATCTCCTTGATGGTGGTTTATGTTTTTCAGACGGTTAACTATGATCAAAGCAACTTTCAGGTTGTTATACAAGCTAATCAATAGTTTGGTATCTGCCATTTGTTTTTTGACAAAACAACCATACTAGGTTATTTGTAAATATTTGTGATGTATTTTCAATGGAATTATTATCTGAAACATTGTGCATCAATTACCCCTTTGTCACTTGCCGATAATCACTGGGCTGGTATAGAACCAATGGCCTAAATTTGATTACACGTTACCTTACTTCCTTCTTTTTCCATATGAAGAACTTGGTTAAAGAAACATGAAATTTTCAAGCGCGCGCGCTCTCTCTCTCTCTCTCTCTCTATATATATATATATATATATATATATATATATATAATTCAAGCGATGGATGCAGTAGTATTGATGCCGCAGTAAGCTTTAGCAGTGCTGTGAATCATGGAGTTAGCACCAGAGAGGTAGTACCAAGCTAGTCCAAAATTATCGAAAGGCTTGTATTGTAAAGGATGTGTTTCATCCACTAATTCCTCAGGTATATCTGTTATTCCTTTGTTAAACGTGAACAGGGCCAATGTGCACCTTTGCTTTTCCTCTTTCAGCAACACTTGGTGCCGCGGTGAATATATTCTTCCATTGCTCCATGCCTATTCCACAGCAAAACACACATACATTGTTGAATATTAAGACGTCTTATCTGTCCGAAAAAGAATGACAGTATCATTTAAAATGAAGGATAAGTTTAACTTATATGTATTGATAGTGTAATTTTATATGTTGTAACTGGTTATCTGTCTTATTTTTCAGGTAACTAGTTAATTCCCCTTATTATATATTTATCTTGAGTTCAAGTTATATATACTAATAGTGTAAAGAATTTTTACATTGGCAATTTAATGTTAAAATATCATGGTATAGCCAGTTTTCGCACTGGTCAATGAAAAATAGCCAGCGTTTATCAAGTCAATGAAAAATAGCCATTATTTTGCTGCAACAGGGACCGGTCCAGTATAATATACGGGAGTTCTGGTGCAATTGTGTATGAACCCCAGCATATTATGCTGGACCAGTATACTTTGCTAACTCCTGTAAAATTTGCGGGAGACTGGAGCACCAGTGCTCCAAACTCCAGTATATTATACTGGACAATTATACTTGCTGGAACTCCCGTAAAATTTGCGGGAGTTCCAGCATAATTATGCTTGAACTCCCGTAAAATTTGCGGGAGTTCCAGCATAGTTATCCTGGAACTCCCGTAAAATTTATGGGAGTTCAAGCATACTTATGCTGGAACTCCCGTAAAATTTGCCGGCGTATTTTTCCGGATTTTGAACCGTGTTTTCGCTCAAATTTATAGTGGCTAAATTTTCGATGACTTTTGAAACTTGGCTATTTTTCAACGACCAGTGGTAAATCTGGCTATTTTTGAATTTCTCCCCAATTTAATCGGTTATAAGAGATTATTACTTTATTTCCTAGATTACCGTATCATACATGATAAGGAGAGTTACCATAGGTTAACCTAACGTAATAGTCTACAACAACAACCCAGTAGAATCCCACAAGTAGGGTCTGGGGAGGGTATTGTGTAAGCAGACTTTACCCCTACCCCGAAGGAGTAGAGAGGCTGTTTCCGAAAGACCCTCGGCTCAAGATAATAAAAAGACAAAAGGAGAGAATATTAGATTCATCACGGAGATCATAGAAAAAATAGGAACATAAAATGCAGAAGAAAAATGCAAAGCAAAAACGATGGCTAGTAAGTGGAACCTGCGTCGAAAATAGAGAATAGTAAGAAACGACATTACCCCTAGCTATCTTAGACAAAACCCTACCGGATTAGGCTCACAAAGACACAAGTAACGCAAGACTCAACTACCTCCTAGCCTACAACCGTAATACTCGACCTCCACAACTTCCTAACGTAATAGTCTAATTTTTTTTTTTTTTTTTTAAAATTGTGGTGCATTACTGGTATCTTTCAGGTATGCTGTAAAAATTCTTTTATTCTGTCATATGAAGTTAGAGTCAAGAAGAAAATAAACAGATAAAAAATATAGACCTCATAAGCATCACCAGCCATGAAGACGAATGCAGAAGGAGGGACATCACGGCAATCCAATCACCACTTTTACTTTCAACTTGCAAACCATTAATCTGATTCTGAAAGAGCAGTGTGGAGAAGCTCTTGTCTGTGTGTATATTTGCACCTATATTATTAATATTGGCGCCGTCATCATCCGCAGACGGTGGCGGCGCTGCGTACTTTGTAGGACGGAGGAGATATGTAGTGGCTGCTATATGAGATTCATAGTGCCTTTCTGCTATTCCATAGCTTTCGAACACCATTTTGTCCACCAACTGTTCTAGTTCTGCTGCTACCTTTACGTACGATGTCACTGTTTCACTAACCCCCCAGCCAACAATGGAAAAAAGAAAAAAAAATAAAACAATTAATGTTATTTATCAGGAACTATTTTTGAAGTTAATAATATACATTATATGTATCCAAATGATTATGCCTAAATGACAAATTAGTGGTGATTGATTATATATCTTTTTGTTCTAACGATCATAAATATTACTAACATATTCATCAGATTATTCATAAGTGATATCATTCAGCACTATCGAAAAAATGACAGAGAAAATCACCCATTTATACAAGAGCCTCTACATATAAAACATATAGATAATCTTTGTCTAGGGTAGGAAACAGCTCGTTTTCTCTTATTTAAATTCTTAATTTTGGTTGATGTATTTGGTGCTAATGACAAGTATACATGCATCTTTAATTGTATAACTCATCGTATAAAAGCTCTATGTACAGTCCACACATAAGATAAACTGGATACAACAATTTTATCTGCTTAATTTGTTATTGAAATGACTTAGCGCTTGTTGTAGATGGTATCTAGATATAAAAGCTCTTAGTATTCATTTTTTTTAAACTTCGTGTCAAGCCAAGCTACACAAACCAAAAATAATTAACTACTATATAGTATTTGTTACCTAAATATGTGGTTGCCTTGTGGCCACATGAGTGTAGTGAAGCTTTGTAATGCTTGAATATCAGTTGGATATACAATCCCAAAGCTTTCATGAAGAGGAGCTGCCTCCAGCTGACCAACCCATCGATAGAAATAAAAGTCAGAAGAGTTCTTCTTCTTTGTTTCAATGGGCAGATCAAACAACTCATCCATTACATCAAAAATTTCATTCTCAAGTTCAGAAGAAACCTTATCATAAAGTGCTATAAAATAACCATGATTTTCAAGTGCATGGCGAACGTCATTGCACAATTCTACCCAAGAATTTGAATCCTCTATTTTGGTGAGATCAATAATAGAAAGTGTTTGAGACATAATGTTTTGTAATTTTACTTAGCAAGAAAAAGCTCAACGTTTCAAAGTATGTGGGGAATATTAATGCATGTCACTCTTTCAAGTTATACACAGTATGTATATAATTAAGAGTTTTTCTGATACCTAATTGAACACCAGAAAACAAATAAAGTATTTTGAGTTTAGGGTTGGGTGGGGGTTTACTGTTTTCTATCATGAAAAAAATAATAAATGATCAGATTCATCATGGCAAATGAAATATCAATGAGTAGGCGCTGGGCAAGTTTTCACCCATTTTGTTGCCTAGTAAAAGACCAAATATGTAGTTTAAAAGTGAGAAATTGGTGTAAATTTATTTTTTATTTTTTTACTTCTGAAGCTATAAAAGATTAGTTTAGAACTGTATTCCAAGAAAAAAAATAAAGAATAGGCTAAAGTATTTCTGGGAGTTTTCATTGGAGGGATCAGAAACACTTTTATATAAGTTAAAAGTTATGGCTCAAAAGTGAAAATTTGAGGTAACAGAGAAACCCAAAGTGCAATATTCCTACCAAAATGTGACTATAGTTCATGTTAAAAAATATGACAAATTTATTCGAAATTTTTTAAATCAAACATTTAATTATTCTTGGGGTTTAACCATTTGTTATCGAAATCCACTAGCCTGGCTATACTAGATTCATGCCGCGTAGGATCTATTTAAGGAGAAAATATTCTCTGTCAAGAATTTCTTCATTCATAACGCTCGAATCGAGACCAAGTAAGCTACATGAGCTATCAATTTATGACAAATTTACTAAGTTTGATTGCTCAAATTAATGAAATTATCAGCATAGTGTCAATTTGAGAAATGTAACCTGTCTTTCTCATTACCGAAACTCGCGAACTATTTCGTACAATCGAAGCTGAATTATTTTAGTTATGATACATAGTTGGTACGAAAATACATAGATTACCCCCTGAATTATGGACAAAATCCCTGATACACACTTTTTGCGAACGAAAATAACTTTACACACTCAACGTTTTCAGACTGTTCCTAATACACACTATTTTTTTTTTGACCAGTTTTTCAAAACATGTGTAATGTCACGCTCCAATGAGATAGTGACACATGTCATTAACATATTAAAAAAAGAAAAAACGTTAAATTATAATTAAACCCATCTTCTTCATCAAATATACCACCATGGCTGCCATCTCTTCGACTCCCATTCAGATTTTTCTGCATCTGCTAGTTGTATTTTCACCTCATTTTCTCCATTATCTTTCTTACCTTCTTCTTCTTCGTTATTTTCTTTTTGAGCAGGTGATTCCCAAAATTGATTATTAAGATCCGCCATTTTCATAGGATCAGATCAACATCTTATTAGAAGCAAACCATTTTTAGGCGGCATGAAAATGCTTGCTCTAGCTTTCTCCTCTTCCACTACTTTTAATTCCTTCATTTCAATAGTATTCTCAATATCCCAAAAAAATCTCAAAATAATTTGGAAAAACCCAGAAAATCCCTCTTCAAATATTATCTCTCTCCACCTTTAAAATTCCAAAGACTTCATTAATAAACTCTTCTTAATTTTTAGGGAGGATTTTAGAGAAAACAAACAGGGATCCACGATAAGTTTTTTTGTTTCTTCACGAGCCTCATTTTTGTTGGTAAACAACGCACTAGCCATGTAGGCATAGTAGTGTGTATTAGGTACAGTCTGTAAATGTTGAGTGTGTAAAATTATAATTGTCCGTAAAAAGTGTATAACAGGGATTTGGTCCATAGTTCAGGGGGTAACCTATGTATTTTGCCTAAATAAATTTCAAGTAGCCATCACTGGGATTGATTCATTTATGATAAAGTTTTGATGTGCTCATGCATGAGCTCATATTTGTTATATTTATGATTTTAGGGTGCATAAGTGCATTGACTAAGGAATTAATGAAATTAAAATATGGTTGTCTTCTGTCAAAGCTAGATCATTTATGGAAAAGTTACGCGATACAATAAATATATACATTATATTATATTTATAATTTGTAGTTATACTTTCAAAAAATTATCATTTCGTAGCTATATTTGCATTTTATAGCAAATCCGCATGTAGTACTGAAATAAGAGACAATTGTTTTGACCTGAAGCAAGAGAGTAACAAGCTTTTGTAGTTTAGTTGGTTAGAGTGCCCCCTTAGTAAGCGGAAGCCTTGAGTTCAACTTTAAATGAAAGCATTCTATTTTTCTGTATTTCACGTTAATTGTATTTCATTGCGCGAACCAATAAACACAAGCTATATTCATTGCGCCTCAATACGCTTGATACAAGCCGATAACAATAGTAATTAAGCAAAGTATAATAATGCCCCGAGAGTAATTGGCTTTTTGGAGTCCTTTTTTTAATCCAATGTCCCGAAGGGACACTTTTGGATTCTAAATACTTTGTTTTAAACTAAACTATATTTAACAAAATGTTAGCAAATAAATATAAATGCTACAGAATTATTTGGTGCAGGATTATTCAACTAATCAAAGCATGCTTAACTATAATAGTAATATTTATCAATCGTACATATGACGTCAAGCAACAAATAATTATCTAAATTTATTGATTAAGATACGTTCAGGTCTATTATCGTACACAACCTAATGCGGGTTTGTTTTTAATATTCTGCTCGTATTAAATTAGCATATGCATCCATCTTCGCGAAATTAGTCTCCATGGTTATAAATTACTCTACTAATTAATTTTTGGTACATGCATAATCAAATTTGACCCCATATATATATATATATATATATATATATATATATATATATATATATATATATATATATATATATAAAAACACACAAGAGTATTGAGTCGAACCCCTTTAGAGATAGGGGAAAGATTTGCCCCAGCTTGGCGAATCGCATCCCCGCGCAACGAATTGCGTTGCCAACGTTCTGATTGTCTTCTTATCATTTCCGTTGCATGTTTGGGGTACGTTTAGTGTTCAATATATTCCCTGATGTCAGTAAACCATGGTTTACCGTTGGGTGCCCTTTCACTGGCCAAAAGATCATTATTGAACATGTCGGGAGTCAACTCAAAAATTTCTATTAGGTTGCAATACACCGGGCTGCTTCTTTGTTCTATCATGATTGGGCGGACTTTCCCTCAGGAATATTTATCATGTTATCGCTACACCCTCTCTAGACAAAAGATTTGATTCAAGCCACTCCACCGCTGGTACAATAGCAACCTGCCTTAATAATCGCATGGGCGCCCGGGCTTGACAAGTTCAAGCAAAACCGTAGAGAGAGCGGGCTACACCTAGCTTAGCCTATCCAATAGCCCGTCTTGCTCTTCAATTCCATTTCGAGAGTCATTATAGCTCTTTTGGACTTATACATGCAGCACCCTTTTATCTTTCGGCATAGACCCTTCTTTCTCCTTGCGATGCAAAGGCAATGTCAGGGAGTCCGACTCTTCAATCGAAAAAAAGACGGTCGTGTGCGAGTCGGCTGGGAAAACACAAGCTTAACACGTCTTTCTTTATCTTTTTCATTTCTGAATGTCTTTTCGAGGATTTAGTTTTGAACCAATGGGATTTTTCGAATGATAATGAAGCTTGCCATTCTGTTTATTTGGTCGAATTCGACTCTGGGCTTGCCCTTTTGCTAACTTTTTCATTATGCTGGTTCAAGTACTGCTTATGCTTGAAATATCTAAACACCTGAAATCCACTCTCAATAGATGTTGCCCCTTAAACAGTGTGAAAGGGTGGTAGGTAGAACTAAAGGAATAATCTTTTTTGATTCGATAATGAAATCAATAGCTTTCCCGAACAGGAATATAGGAAGAAGCCAATAGCCTACAGGCATGCCAGCGGATAAGTTCCGTTAGATTGGACATAACAACTAATCATAAGATCATGCTAAGTTCAACTACCTAGCTTAGTTTAAGACTTTGTTCTTTATAGCTTTGTTCTGATTTACATTTGATATGAGTTTAGTGTATATTCTTTTAATATTATTTGCAATCTAAAAAATATTTTTAATTAACTGCTCATAATGAATGAAACTAGTTATTTGAAAAATAAGAGGCACACTCAATTGTAAATGTGTGACACACACGCATACACGCACATACATACACAACTAAAATACTATGGACTTTTTTACCTTTTAAATATATATTTGACATAACATAAAATTATCAATTAATATTTTTTAATATTTGGAACTTTAAATTTAACTAAAGTATTGAATATTTTATGTTTCTTTATTTTAACTATATGTAGAAACTCGGAATATTTAGAAATCTAAAAATCGAGTAAAGCTTTACTTATATAAATTATTTCCTTATTTGAATTCTGTAAAATTAGCTAATTACTAAAAATTTGAAGGATTTGTTATTATGTTATAGATCTAGCTATGCATAATAAGGAAACTTAATAATCTGAAAGTAATTAAATGAAAATTTTACCTCTTATAGCAAAGGTATACACCCTATTTATTATAAACCAAAATTATTTTAAAATATTATTTTCTATAGCTACCTTTTATATTTGATAGCAAAATAAGTATTTATGCTATATACTACCATTGAGGAATGATATAAGGCATGAAGTAAGCTATTTATATTTTTTCTCTCTCTTAGACAGCTGGACATACCTATTTTTAAGGTGATTGTCATTACTGTATTCATGAATACAATGTGCGAATACATGCGTGTACAACTGGACCGCCCTGATTTTAGGCACTTTTTACTATTGTATTCATGAATACAACTGCGTGAATACATGTCAATACATGCGCGTATAGCTGGACTGTCCTGATTTTAGGCGCTTTTTGCTGCTGTATCCATGAATACATGGCGCGAATACATGTGAATACATGCGCGTACAGCTGGACTGCTCTGATTTTAGGCGCTTTTTGTACATGGCGCAAATACATGCATGTACAACTGGATTGCCCTGATTGTTAGGCGCTTTTTGTACATGGCGCAAATACATGCATGTACAACTGGATTGCCCTGATTGTTAGGCGCTTTTTGCTGTTGTATTCATAAATATAACAATGAATACAGCGAATACACTATCGTAACAACTGAATAGTAGCTATAGGAAGTAATTATGTATATGGTAGCTATAGAAAGTTAATAGTCACTAAACAATAGTGGTTTCTGAAAATTCCTCTAATTAAATCGCTTTTTATCTTCCGAGAAATTGAAGAATTCCATGATATTTAGTTGTGAAGGATCCAGGTAAATAAATTAGGAAGTAGGTGTTTATGTGATTGGTTAGAAATGATATATATTTCATAGAGTTTGCTAAAATCTCATATACATTACAACTAGATGGGTCAGATTTGTAATTAATAATTAATGGGAACAAAACAATTCGGCAACATGAAATATTATTTGATTTAAAAGTTCCAATTCTTTTCCTCACCGTTCTCTTTGTCATAAATACATGTATTAATTTTGTGTTGAAGTTTCATGCTTATATAATATTTTCTCCGTTCACTTTTATTTATTCACTATATTAAAATATATTTTCACTTTTACTTGTCAATTATACTAAATCAAGAGAAAGACAATCTTTTTTTTCCTATTTTACTCTTATCATTAACTACTCATTCCGCAAATCATTTTACAAGACTTTTGGAAATACTATCATTATTATAGGTAAAATTGTAAAATATATATTTTATTTATTGTTTCTTAAAGGACGTGAAAAGTAAAAATAAACAACTAAAAGTGAACGGAAAGAGTAGCAAAATACAAATAACAACAATCAAGTCCATTATTCTCCAATAGTAGAAGTAAAACATCAAATTAAATATTATCAGCACTTGAAGAATAGGCCTTCAGAAAATCTTCATCTTGTTACGAATCAGTTCCATAATATCAAACTGCAGAGGATGAAGCAATGAGCTCTTCTAGTGTTCCTATCTTCATTGGATGTGAAAACTGCCCAAGTGAATATCTTGATTCATTTCCACTCATTGTAACTTTATGTGTAACAGCATGTACTCTGTCGTTGCTCCATTCCTTAGTCAATAAATACACAAAAAACATTTTGCATGATCAAATTAAACTACATAATTAGGGTTTACAATCTACTATGATACTCTTTCCTTTTTTTAGTATATTAAAAAGAATGACATCATTTTTATCTTGAAACCCTTTCAGCTTCTCATTTTTACCCTTAATTATGACATACCCCTATAGCCATACAAATATTTTGACATGTTTAAGAGCACAAATTCTATGCGTTGCGTACTTTTGGTATATGAGACAAAAATCGTTTTTTTTTTTTTTTTTTTTTTTGCTTCTTAAACTCCGTATGCGCCTAGTCAAACACGGTCGTAAGACAAAAAATATTTTTCTCTTCTTAAGCCCGGTATGCGTCTAGTCAAATATTATCATATAGAATGAAACGGAAGGAGTGACATACAAACTAAAGTTTCATAGATAGGGAAAAATATATAGGACTAACCTTAAGTGCATCACCTGCGATAACAATAAAGGATGAAGGAGGAAATTCAACAGAAATCCAATGACCATCCTTTGTTTCGATCTCCAAACCATTTACTTGATTTTGATGGAGTATAGTAATAAAGCCCATGTCACAATGAGGTGGAAGACCAATGTTAGGCCCATCGGACATTGGAACTCCATATTTCATGACACGAACAAGGTTACCCTTAGATTTAACACACAATTCATGATGTTTCTCCACACCATAGCTTGCAAACATTGTTTTAGTCACCATGTTGTCTAGTTCCATCATTTGCTTTGAATGGGAATAAAGTAGTCCACTATTCACACAAAGCCCAATGGAAAAACAAAATTAAGAATATTAAAGGAGAAAAAAAAAAAAAAGAGAAATTGAGGAGGGAGGAAGGTAACGATATACCGTTAATAGTCTATTTGGCCAAGTTTCTAAAATCAACTTATTTTGAAAAGTTTTTTTTTTTTAAAATGACTTTTGGTGATAAGCCGTTTAAGTTTGACTACTTATTTAAAAAAAAAAATACTTTTGAGTATCAATTAGTGTTTGATCAAATTTCTAAAAAGTGCTTCTAAGTGAATTTTTCTAAAAAGTATTTTTCAAAAAAGAGTTTTTGGCGTAGAAACTATATTTTTTTACTTCTCAAAAAATATTTTTACTTCTACTCAAAAGTACTTTTTTTCTTCTAAAAGCTTGGCCAAACACCTTTAAAAAAAAAAAAATTGGCCTAAAAGAAGCTTGGTCAAACAAGCTATAAGTATATTTTTCTTAAAAGTACTTTTCGAAAAAGTATTTTTGGGAAGAAACTACTTTTTTCTGCTTCTCAAAAACTATTTATGCTTCTACTCAAAAATACTTTTTTCCTTCTTAAAGTTTGGCCAAATACCTAAACAATACTTTTGACAAAGAAAACACATTTGGCCGAAAAGAAGCTTTGACCAAACAAGCGACAAGGATGGTAAAAAAGGTCCTTGATGTGCGAACCAAAAACTTAGTATGAGGAAAAGAAATCTTAGTTAAGATATCATACCAAAAATGAGTATTTCCAGAGGGCCACATGAGATTTGTGAAGCTTTGAACTGATTCAAGATTGGTTGCATTCTCAATTCCCATGCTTTCATAAAGAGGCCGAGTATAGGATTCTGGTCCAATATAACCAAAATTAGGAATTGTCGAAGTGTTTTTAGCTTTAGTTTCCACAGGTAAATCAAACAACTTGTCCACTGCCTGGAAAACTTGTTTACATTGCTCCATTGAAATTTCTTCATAGATTGCTAAGAAACAGCCATTGATTTCGAAAGCTTTTCGAACATCTTGGCATGTTGAAATCCAACAACTTGAACTTGGGCTCATGTTTTCTTGGCTAAATCTGATAACAGGAATGACTCTTTGGGATTCCATGGTCCACAACTAAGACTTTAGAGATGTATATTAGGACTGTAGGAGGTAGCTATCTGAATCATATATATATATATATACATCTCATTATAGCAAGAGGACTAATGTTTTTTTGCCCAGTGGTTTACATCAATTATTGTCTTTATCTTTGGCCGGCAATCTTTTACATAATAAAATTTCTATCATCAATTTCTAATGTCAATAATGACTTGAAAAATTTGAATATTGTTTCATGTGATGCTCTTGTCATTTCTTTTTGTTTTTTTGCTTATTTCTCTGGGATTGAACATTGGATTATTCATGTTGATAGATTCCTTAAGACAGTCCATAGATATATGTGTATCACTTATGGTGAATCAGCTATTGCTGTTAATCCAAAGGTCACAAGTATCTAATGTAAAGGAAACAACTTCTGCTTGTCTAGCAGAACATGACCCGACCAAATTCCGCTCAACTCGCCTATTTAACACTTGTATCCCAAGATTTGGTTATAGTTTGGGCTTCTTCGACGGCCTACTTACCCAATCTTTTGTTTTTTCTCAGGCCAACTCTACATTTTGGGTAGATTCTTATTGATGTCTCACGTTATGATCCATATTTCATAATTTGTCCATATCAAAACGATCAAAAAGAAAAAAAAAAATATATTTTTGAGGAATAAGAAAAGATTAAAGTAAGAGAATGTTGAGTATCCCAGCTATTTATATATTAAGTATATAGTTAGTTGTAACCACTTAGAGTTAGTTAGTTGTACAAATATAAATAGAGTAGTTTACTAGCTTTTGTACTACTATTCATTTTCTTCCTTGAAGGTCAATAACATAAGGAGCTTTCTTTCGGTCTTCCTCTCATTCTCGCACCTTCTAGAACTTACAGTTCTGCCATAGCTGAAACTTCTCAACAGAGAACTCTCTTTCAGATCACCAGTGTTAACAAGAGAAGAGAAAGTAAATTATATGCTAAGAAAAGAAAGAATTATATTTTCCAAAAGAATGCAAGTAAACTCGAAAAAGAAAAAGTGGCTCATATGACCAGTCATGAGATTTCAACTAAAGGGTTTGTAATCGATGTTTCTATTTGACCAAAAAGTATTAAGCTTTTTGTTAAACTAATTAATGATAAAATAAAGGGTGAATCTTAGTTAAATATAATAAATTCTAGATCAAATATTGGAGGATGTTGGCAAAATGAACAGCGTTTGAGAGTATTAAATAGCAGATGTATACTCAGTGATTACCAATAAATGTTATAAGATGAACATGCAATAAATGTAGATAATGGCAATAAATGTAATAAGAAAGAATCTATCATCCAATTATTATATGATTTGGACGTTTCTTCCACCTGACAACAACATGGAAAGATGAGAAGCAAAGATGGATAAGGAATCTTCGGATCTTGTGAACAAAGATTAAACAACATGTGCTTGAATAAGATAATCAATGAACAAGACAACTTTTGTATATTCCCTTTAGTCAATCTTTTACAATGTGCTCTTATCAGAAAGTGAAGATCCCCTCTTTGTTCTCTATCTCTTCCTATTTATAAGGGATATTCCCAAGAAACCCTAAAAAGTACAAAATAAGGAATATCCAAAGGAATATTCCTTGTGTCCATTTCTATACCTATCCTACTGTTATTTCTTTACTCCAGTTGCTCGTCCTCGGTGATAATCCTTCTGAGGACGACTCCCCGCTATTATGCCATGGTCGACCCCGGCCACGATCCTGTTTATTTTCTTTCATCAAGTCACCAAATTTAGACCAATACAGTTAGTCCCTCCGCTTGTTGAGGTCGTGGTCTTGCACGCCCTCGATAAACGGACCCGGTCTGCGTCCGTTTAGAAGAAATCTGGTCATGTTGATTAAGTCGAATCGGCCGAGGTCGAGAAACGGCGTGGCCAACGAGGCTGCGGTTGGTGTGGCTGACGTCATGGCCACGCGTCTCATCATTACGCATCTTCCCGATGTAGTGTCTGTGCTTCTGTCGTTTCGATTATAGCGCCATTGACGGTCTGCTGCTTCGATTTCGGTGCCACCCAACCCTATAAATAGATGTGGGGGGGGGGGGGTTCATTTTTGAAAATTTTCGTCATTTCTCATTTCGCATGTGCACTGTTCTTCTTTGATCTTCTTCTCCGATCTCCGCTTTCAATTCTTTACAGCCTCTTCAATTCTAATCCCTGACTTCTTACCCGGTCAATATTTTCTTCAGATCTTTGTTGCATACGTTTCGCTACGGAAATATGTCACAATCCCCTCATATTCACGACGAGGTTTCCAATGTCACTCCATTATCGGTAGCCCTTCCTCCCGGCGGTGAGGAATTCATGGCTGAAGAGAGGAAAGCTTCCTACCGCGGAAGAGATAGTCTCCAAAAACCCTTTGGTTAGACATGACTTTCCAAAGGAGCCTGCTCCCGCTCAGAGGCTTTCTGAGACGGGACCTGTGATGACCCAAAAGGTCATCACTTGCTTTTAAATTAAATTCTGTATTTTGAGGCCTTAAAATCCTCTTTTATCTTTACCTCGATTGCGTGCACAGTCCGGGAGTGTAGCCGGAAAGCTTAATGAGAAAATCTATAAAAAATGATAAATTTTGACTATAAAATAAATTAATTTGACTTCGATCAACATTTTGGGTAAACGGACCCGGGCCCGTGATATGACGGTCCCGGAGGGCCCGTAGGAAAATATGGGACTTGGGCGTATGCCCGGAATCGAATTCCGAGGTCCCAAGCCCGAGAAATGAATTTTTAAAGAAAATTATTTTCTAGAATTGTTTAAAGTATTTTGAAATGAAATTTGATTAGAACATGATGGTATCAGGCTCGTATTTTGGTTCCGGCGCCCGATACAGGTCTTATATATGATTTAAGATAATTTTGTGAAATTTGGTGAGAAACGGATGTCATTTGACGTGATTCGGACCTAAATTGCAAAAATTGATGTTTTATGAAGTTTGAGAAAAATTCTTTGATTTTGAGGTTTAATTCATTGTTATTGAGGTTATTTTGGCGATTTGATCGCACGAATAAGTCTGTAGGATATTTTTGAGGTTTTGTGTGCACTTGGTTTGGAGTTCCGAGGGCTCGGGTGAGTTTCGGGTAGGTCCCGGAATGTCTTAGGTTTAAAAACATGGATGTTGCAGGTTCAGAGAAGTGCAAACCTCTGAACCCGCAGTGCTGACCGCAGTAGTTTTTGTGCTGTCCGCACTGGTGACTGTGCGGCCGCATTTGATTTTGCGCGGTCCGCACAGATTCACTGGTCCGAATTCGAAAGCTCATATCTTTTGATCTACAAGGAATTTGGGGATGGTTCAAAAACAAATGTTGTAGATTTTTGAATATAGTTTTCAGAAACATATTATAATAGTCATTTGGACATCTGTAGAGAAAGTTATGGCCAAAATACTAAGACCTGTCACTGCTGAACACAAGTAGTGCTGTGCCACCGCAGTTGATTTTGTGCGGTCCGCACAGGGCACCTGAGAATAGTATATTTGGACGGGATTTTCAGTTATTTTTCATTTTTCAAAACCCCAAAAACATAAGAGGCGATTTTTCAAACAACCTTTCTTCTCCAAAATGTTGGTAAGTGATTTCTAACTCATTTTCTTCACTCCTTAACATCTTTTAACATGATTTCAACTCAAAATCAATGATTTTCATGGGGGAAATTGGGAGTTTTGGGTAGAACCTAGGTTTTTAAAAAATTGGGGATTTGGACCTCGATTTGAGGTCCGATTTCAAAACAAATTATATATTTGAGTTCGTAGGGGAATGGGTAATCGGGTTTTGGTTTGAACCTCAGGTTTTGACCATGTGGGCCGGGGGGCGATTTTTGACGTTTGGGTAAAACTTTGGAAAATTCATTTTCATGCATTCAAATTGATTCATTTAGTGTTTATTGATGTAATTAAGTAACTTGTGACTAGATACGAGCGAATTGGTGGTGGAATCAAGGGGTAAAGCTATAATTGAATCGTGAATTATGTTCGTGGCATCGAGGTAAGTGTTTGGTCTAATCTTAGCTTGAGGGATTAGGAGTTGAGTCCTATTTGCTATGTGGTAATTGTTGAGTACGACGTATAGGCATGGTGACGAGTATCTATACGTTGGTGTCTAGCATGCCCGTGAGTCTCTATATTGTGATTATCATGACTTCATTGTATCTTTCATGCCTTGGTGAAAGTTTCTAGTTGTTGTATAAAGTTTGTGGAAAGAATTGTGACCTATGAACATTGAGGAGTGTTTGCTCAAGTTGTATAACGAATTGTGAAAGTATAAGTGACAATTGAACTTTTAGAGCACTGGCTCGAGTTGTGAAATAAGTTGTGAAGGTATAAGTGATAATTTAACCTCTAGAGCACTGACTCGAGTTGTGAAGTGAATTGTGAAGTAAAAGTGAGAAAGAGAAGAGATCATTATGTTGTCACCCTTGCCGGGCTATTGTTGATTTATTTTTTATCTCCCTTGCCGGGACGTGGATGTTATTGATGTTGTTCCCTTACCGAGATTTAATTGTTGACTTGTTGCTCCTTTGCCGGGATTCTTATTGCAAATTTCCTTTATTTCCTTGCCCTATTGTTTGTGATTGTTGTTTGGGTGAGGAAGGGAGTGTAAAGCACGAAGGGTGATGCCGTGCCGCACGACGTACCATTCCGTGCCTAATATATTGATTTCATGGTGAGGAAAGAGTGTAAAGCACGAAGGGTGATGCCGTGCCGCACGATGTACCATTCCGTGCCTATTGTATTGATTCTTATGGTGAGGACGAGAGTAAAAACACGAAAGGTGGTGCCGTGCACTTGTCCTTGATTTCCCTGATTCTTGCTGATAATTGAGTCATGTTGTCCTTTACGTTTATTTACTGATTTCCTGTTGTTATTTGATTTTATTTCGAGGTTATAGATTCCCTTACCCTATTTGCCTTGTGGTTGTTGTTTGGGTGATGAAGAGCGTAAAGCACGAAGGGTGATGCCGTGTATTGTTTTGGTGAGAGAGTGTTAAAGCACGAAGGGTGATGCCGTGTATTTTTTTGGTGAGAGAGAGTAAAAGCA